TTTTTTTTTTTTTTTCCTTTTTTTTTTTTTTTTTTTTTTTGGTATGACTGCTTGATTGTTGCTCGGGCTCATTATGGAAAAAGAAAATGCATTGAAATTGGTTCACAACTCACATTATGAAAGTTCAACTTTCAGGAATGGATGATCCAGGCAACGTAACACTTGCTCAAGGATTGCATGACACTACAAGGATCAACTTCTAGAGAAGCTACTTGACTCAACTGAAGAAGGCAGTTGATGATGGAGCCAATGTGATTGGTTACTTTGCTTGGTCTTTGCTTGACAATTTCGAGTGGAGGTTAGGCCATACATCAAGATTTGGGATAGTCTACGTTGATTACAACAACCTCAAAAGGTATCCAAAGATGTCTGCTTATTGGTTCGGAAAACTGCTTCAAAGAAACAAGTAGAGCTGTCCAGACATGTCTTGGGATTAGTTTTTATGCCAGTGTAACATACAACTCTCCCTATAAAACTGATGGACTTCCACTGTTCTCCAAGTTGTCAAGTAATTCCATTTCAAAAAATATTGTTGATAAAAAGATTGTTTCTCTAGTTCCTAAAGGAAATTTATGCACCAACAATTGCATTTGTCAACCCCACCAGAGAGACATTCTAGTAATGTTGCAGGTTATGCATATCACATATAAGACCATTAAGACCATTCCAATACAAATGCTAATGCCAATTCTATATTTAGTATCAAAAAGTATGATATAATATATTATTTTCATTTTTACTCCAATGCATAATGATGTTTGAAATGCTAAATCTACTTTTTTCATAATCATTAAACTTTAAAAGTTGTAAAAGTAAACTTTTATTTCTAAAATAATTAAAAAATACAAAAGTTAAAATGATTATATGAAAAAATAAACATTTCTACTAGTTGAAATGATTACATGAAAAAATAAACATTTTAACTAATAGTAATCAAATGCCAAATTTTTTATATGCTATACTTGGTGAGAAATTTGCCACAAAGTATGGCATATGGGAAATTTGACACAGTAAATAGTAGTGTATTGGAGTTTACACTCAAATGCTACACATCAATTATAACATTTGCAATGGAGATACTCTTCGCATGTGTGAATCTCAAGATAAGTTATAGTTTCTCTTCATGAGGAAATCTCTTCAGCAACGCCAGTAGAATTGAATGAAAAATCAATGCAAAACCAGCCAAAAAGCAACAAAAATTTCAGGACATAATTTAAGGATTACTTGAATTACACGCGAGAAAAGAAGTTCAAGATACTGTTCTTTTTAGTATCCGAACTCTTGGAGACGCTATTAGTCTTTAGTTTCCCAATTTTCCCTTTACTCTTCCCACCACCAGTTATCTTACTTGCCTTGGAATTTACACTCTCTTGGGATTCAGAAACCAAGCACAAAACTTCTGAATTCTCTTCCTTGGTCACCACTGAATTCTGTTCACCAACTTTTTCTACCTCATATAAAGTTACTTCTTCTATCTTTCTTTTCCTAGAGACACCATTCTTACGAACTTCCTGGTATATGTTAGTACTGTTAGAGATAGCAGAATTGTCTAAATCTTCAACCTGGGTTGAACATGAAACTTGACTTCCTATTTGATCTACATGATTTTGGTCGAATTTCCGTCTCTTGAATGGATTGTTGTCAGGAACCTTTAACGGGACGTTGGTTACTGTTTTAGTTTGAACCGCTTCACGAATTGTGGATGGCATGATTAACTTCTGAAGTGCTTCAACTTTGTTAATACACTTCTTTTCATTTGGAATTGGATTCTGCTTTTCTGTGAATCATATAAAAGCTGTATGTTGTAATTTCACCTTCTCTTTCTATACCGTATAAATAAACAAACACCCACAGACATACACATATATAATTGTGTACATATCTTTATACAGTAATACAACACACATATCTAGACAAGCAAAAAGTCATTATTTACTTGACATATCAATTGAACAATATTTTTTCATGCAGCTTTCTAAATGAGAATAACGTTTTAACTGGAGATGTTAGTGCTTAAACGCCAAAAGTTATTGTCATGTCAATGAGTCCCCACAAGATTGGTGCATGAGTTTGATTCTTAGTCTTACTCTGTGTACTTATTAAATCATGCATGTAAAAGCAGGAAATCTCAATGTTATGAAACCAGCAAAGAGTTGGTCAGAAGTTTGTATAACTTGCCTGTATCATCTGTCTCTCTGGCTTTTTGGTTTGAGAAGGCCACAAAGCAGCTCTCTCTTGCAGATTCCACGAGAGCCTCGACTCTTGGCAGTCTACCTGAAGTTTGGATCTTAACAGGAGGATCCTGAAGACGTCTTGAACTTGAGTAACGGTCAAAGGCCTCCATACTGATTGGATCCACATTTCCTTCAGCGATTGCAATGGCAACTGATGGAGGGATTTCGCTGAATCCAGTAGTATTGGTCAAGGAAAGAAGTTGCAAATTGAAACACACCCAAAAGCTAGCAAAAACAGCCTTACAGGTGAAATCATGTAGAAAGAATACTGTATGGTGGTCAAAGAAAGTTCTTAATCTTAGATTGCAACCCGAGTTCTGATAAGAAAAATGCTAAATATCATCAACGGTGATGGAGTTTTCGAACAATAAGAAATTGCCATGAAACCCTGTAAACTATGGGTCCCAAAGTTGGCATTTAAATTTATGTTTAAATGTAAAGCATGCCCTGACGCACAACACAAGGCTGAAAGTGGATATAGCTCTCACATTTTGCTCTCGGTAGCAAAGAATTAGGGCGTCTAATTCTTAACACTTGGTGGTGATATTGCTCCTTGATTGTCGAAGGCAACAGGCTGTCATATCTTGTGCAGTGAAAAATACTGAATGCTCGCTTGATGCATTGTAGGTACTAACATAGTTATTTTTTCCCCCTTAGAAACAAGGATACGGTCCCAAAAAATCGAGGTTCCCATCTAGGGATTCCAGAAGCATTTCTGGAAGAGGTCTCATGTGTTTGAGCTTTTTGATGTCCAAATCGTATCTGTGTGGGAAACAAGAAACAAGCGCCAGAATGTGTCACCCAACTAAAAGCAAATATATCTTGAAATTGATGTCTTTAAAAGATATTGTGTTTGCTCTATACTTACATCAGAGCATGCTGGAAAACTGCAAGCGCTTCTCTGAAAGATTTGGGATAACCCTCAGGCATTTGGTTTCTCTTCTCAAGTTTCAGAACTGATAGAACCTGCAACCATGGCAGTATGTGAGCATGCAATATCACCTACACTTCTAGATCAATAAATAATACAGAAAGAAAAAGATGAAAACTTAAAATCTATAAGCAGATAAAAGCATGCATTTATTTATGAATAATACCAGTTATGATCTGTGCATAATGTTTCTAAATTTAAGGTTTCATAATTCTCCGCCGCTTTTAATCTCATTAGGCATATTAGTTCAAGTTTAGAACTTCATAAAAGTCTAATCAAATGACTTCTCTAATCAGATCATCTTTCCAATTAGCTACTATGGTAAGGAAACTCCACCGATCCTATAATCCGGATAGCAGTATGCTCTCCGTGTTTTTCAAGATCACATTAAAAAAATGGTTGCATCAGTATGCTTGCTATTCAGAAATATATGATTATTAGAAGATCAATCCGTTCCCTTTTATCTGCATTTTCTTTTCTGAAAAGTTCAGCGTCCTAGTGAACGGTAAATTAAATCTGATGACCATCCCAATGAGCAAATAGAATGCACTTACGCGGTCTAAATTCAGATACTTGGATACCAATGCATGAGATTTCACTATTCCAATTCCAGGAACAGAGGGAAGGAAATCACATCCAGCTAACACACACATACCTGTGAAATAATAGATAACTATGTGAGTTCATAATTCAGCAACTAGAAAAACAGTGAGCCACTGTTTTACTCTCATTTAAAAAAAAAAAAAAAAAAAAAAGAGAGAGAAACAAAAAAACAAAAGAACAGATTTCCAGGCATATTTACGTTTTACCGAGAGAAAATCAAACTTCAGAACAATGACTGACCTCATTATGAGGCTCAAATCCAATTTATATCAGGAAACTCCATGCACATTTTGGAACTCTATGTAAAAGGAAGCTGAGAATGAACACAGTGAACTAACCTGTGAGCAATTCGTTGTCGAAATTTCGAAACGAAGGTGTACAAGATGCAGAATCAAAAACATTGTGTAGCAGTATTTCTTCACCATTGCCAAACCGATCCATCTTAAATACAATCTGTTTAGAGCCAATGCAAATCCCAGCAAAACAAAGTTAACAATTCAATAACAAGTAATATAACAAATGAACAATGAAGGAGAGTAACCATCCATTTACATAAATCAGGAAAAAAAAATCCTTACAGCTTTGCAACCATAGGCTATAAGATCACTGTCCTCCGTAATCACCGCCACAATTCCACCTTTTTCTACCTCAAGGCTGGAGAGGTACGCCAACTGTGCATCAGCCTCATATGGAGCTACTACGAATTCAATATTTTCAGATCTCAAAACCTGAAAGACATCATTAAAAAAAATCATTATATCAACAAATTGTCCAAAAACATAAAAATTTGTTCAGCATGAATTGAATTTTGAACTTGATCAATAAAGTATTGTGTATAGTTATGAGGCAACTGCACCTGAATCAGTTGATGTGCCATGGACGGAGTGACACTCACTGCTCTCTACACGTGAAAAAAAATACACACAAAGATCATTCACAGATGAATAAGTTTCTTTGTAAATAAATCTTACTAGAGGAAAAACAAGAGCAGATACTTTACATCATAGAAGATGCTACACCAAAAACACAGTAAATTTAAAATCAACCTGTAACATGTAAGGATAAAATAAAGCCGAGTTCCACGCCATTTAAACGTGAAAATAAACATAAACTTATAAGGACATTGGGTCACCCCACCGAATAGGTTGCTCTTAGAAAGTCCAATTTCTATAATGGTATCAGAGATCAACACAAACGAGCAGCCCCATCCATCCAATATAAGATTGATGACTCTAAAAAAAGCACCATCTTGCTTCATTTAATATAAAAATAAAAATAAAAACTTATAAAAACATCAGGTCACTCCACCGAATAGGTTGACCTTTTACGTTGAAACCCCGAGCCCTTAGAAAGCCCAATTTCTATAACACCATCCGATGTTTTAGTCTTCTAGCTGGTTAAACCTAACAATGCCATTTGCCTTTAACTCGATCAAAATTTTGCTTTGATCATTTTTCTTTTTGAAATACTGTACAATAAAATCAAACTGAATTTAAAATAATAGTGAGCTGTTATGGACTTACTAAGTCAAATCTCCTCTTTTATCATAGTTAAAGGAGCTACGAATGAAGACTAAAGCATCTAAAGTTGTCATGACATTGGTTGCGGTCATTAAATATTCAGAAAATTTGGAAAAATTGGGGGAAAAAGAACTTTACCTGAAAGAACTCAGAAGCAGCACTGACATTCCCTTCTTTGAGCTTCTCCATTGCTAGATCACGATTAGTTGTTTTTCTCCTGAATCATTAGTATAAAAAAATAAAAAATAAAAATAAAAAATCAGAATTACAGCTTCAATCACGATAAGTTTTACATTATTGAAAAATGAAGGACAAGGAATAAAATAGAAATAAGAAGAGAAACGTGCCTATGGCGATCTTGCTCAGTAAGAGCTTTACAGGGGATATTGGCACCATCAAAAACGACAACTGGGGTTATCTTATAATGACGAAGCAGATTGATTCTGTGCATAAAGTAGTCGATGTATCGTAATTTCTTCTCACCATCTGAGTTCAGACACAGCTCCATACTACACGAATACGCTGCCCAAAATACCCCCATTATTATTTTACTCTTTATTATTTATTTCCATCCACCAAAATATAAAAAATAAAAACACTTGATAATAATAAGTATAAGAATTGACCTCCTTTATGAAGCCATGAATATGCATCGATACCCACCTGAAAATTAATAGATTTTCAGATTTAAGACCCAGAAACCGAACCATTAAAGAGAAAGAGAAAGAAATGGAATAAGGGAAAATGGTAATTTACGCGCATTCCGGCGTACTTCTTTATGTGAATGGGTTTGATGTAAGGTTTCATGAATCTGAGAAGATCTTTGATACCCATTTGCTTGCTCTGATTCTTCTTTTTGTGGGGCTTTGGGTTTTGAATTTTTTTTTTTTTTTATTATTAATTCCCTCTCTATTTGAGTTTTTATTCTGTGCCGCTGAGAGGGCAATGAAGAACTAGAGAAAGAGAGGTAAACGAAAGAGAAATTGGCGGGAAGAAGAGCAAATGGCAAAAGAAGTGAGAAATTTTGCGCGTGGAGGAAATGTGACGGCGCTGTTAGGGATTTGCTAAACTGACCAATGATCAACACCCACGTGCCTAGTAAAGATGGGAGGGGGTAGTACCGTCTTTTCAGTTTCTCTTCCATTTAACCGCGAAATTCGGTTGAATTTGAGGCTCCCGCTCGTTCCTATGATGCTAATTTCCACGCTAATTCATGCACGTGTTCTACACTATTCAATTAAACAAAAAATCAAATATTTTGGCAATTAGAAAGTTAGAAAAAGTAAAATTAAATTAAATTAAATTAACTTATAAAAATAACCTCTTATGCATACCGCCGCAAGTAAGCCCGCCACCGATCCCGCAAAAGCCATCACCGCCATCAAGTGTTGCACAGCCGGACCACCCCCGCACTTCTCAAATACTACTCTTAATGATGAAAGTTCTGATTCTGCTCTTGACGGCATGAAGCAAATCTCGAGGTAAAATGTTGAAGTAGTGCAGGTGGACAGCAGAAGACCAACCAGTTAACCAGTAGGCTACATCAGGTTAACCGGACAACAAAGTTCTAGATCCGAAGACGATTTCAAAGCAGCATTTTAAATTTTAAATTTCAAATTATAAGATTATTCCATATTTTATCGCTTCTTTTTTAGATAATGTTAATTCTAAATACTTTAGAATAGGATTAGTTTCCTTCATTTTGATTTCTAAATTATAATAGGGATTAATTCCTTAAATTTAAAGAAAATTGTTAACTTTATTTTTAGAGTGCGTGAGTTTAAATTTTTACTTCTTACACTTAATTAATGTTCTTTTGATTAATATAATTATTTGACTAAAAATAATATTAATTAAAAATAAATAATAAAAATCCATACTCATACACATGTTTGTCTCTTTTCCTTTTTTATTTTACTTACCTTGCAAGGCCATGTTGAGCCCAAGCTTAAGTAGCAGTCTGCGCAAGATCCAGGTTGCTTACTTGTATGCGGTTCAAAGGCCTCACACACATCGTGTGCAAACGGGGATCAAACCATACTAATGAGCGTCATTAAACATTAATGGTTGATGAGGAGGTTATTTATCAAAAAATCGAGTATTTTTTAATTTAAGTATTTGTGAGTCTTCAAGCATTTTTGTTAGTTTAATGTGTTTTAGTATTATTTTGTAGGAAAGATAATAAAATGGGACTTAGTGACATTTTGGAGTTAAAAATTAGAGCAAAAAGAACTCAAAGCCGCACAAGGGCCCTCTTGGGTAGAACCACCTATGCGGGCGCGCCACCTGAGGCGCACGGCCGCTCCACACCCCACGCGCCCACGCCTCATTGGGAGCACGGGCACGCCACTAGCCGCGCAACTGCACCCCCCGTGCCTCATTAGGGTCAGTTGCTTAATTCTTGTCTGCTTTGTGATGTGTATTTTCCATTTTCCTTTTCCACGTCTAGGACCTTTTGGCTTGGCTACCACCTTCAAAGCTTGCTCTTCTTTCTCCTACTAGACAATTTTCTGCTCATGAACCAACAAAGAACTTTCTGATTCATCAAGTGAAAGCGCATCAACTTCTTTTGATTCTTCTATCAAACAAACAAGGAAATTAAATTTCGGTGTCATCAATCGAAGACTTTTCTCCACGATAATGACGTCTTCCATTTTCACACCATGGATTCGCATCTTGTTAGCGATTGTCAACGTTCTTGCGAGGAAATCCATAACCGACTCGTACGACTTCATGCATAAAGTCTCAAATTCGGCAATCTAAATGCAGCTACAACAGTTTAGGCAATCTAAATGCCATTCTCCTGTTGCAATTATCCCTTCATTCATAATCTTAGTTACATCATTTATCATTACTTATCGCCACAATTTCAGGTACATGTTTTTTCCAAGTATTAAAGATCAGCGCAGTCGGCTGTTGCAAGTGCTCCATTTCTGCTTTACTAAAAGCAAGCCCTAGTAAAATTATTCATATTATCACCATATATATCAATACGTATAAAACATTTACCAAAAAAAAAAAAAAAAACTACAAGAAAAGGAAAAAGAAAACATATGCGACGACTAGGTAGCTGGTCGCAAATATAGTGGTACATAATTTGGGAGAGTTGGCATCGAGTCCCACACTGAGAATGCACCAGAGCACCTCATCCATTTCCTTGCCATGTCCGGGAAGTGCCTATCAATCACATCTTTTAAAGTCTCTGTCGTGTTAACCCATTTAAGGCCTTCCTCTGTGTAGGTTTCCGAGTTGAAGTCGGTTGTGAAAAAGCGATCTGCTTCTAGCCTCCTAAACGTGCATATACCATGTTAGAGTTATGCTATGATCGGTAGAAAGGAAAGAAAATATGATAGAAAGAAAATATAGAAGTAATGGAAAATAGCAATGATAGAAAGGAAATTGATTTTCTTTTATATTGTTTGGTATGAGAAGATGGAAAGAAAATGAGCTTACCTTCACTTATTTGGTATTGAAAGTTAAATTGGAAGGAAATAAAAAAATTTACTCGTAAATTACTTTTATACCCTTAAATTTTTTGCTTGGATGTTAATGGATAAAAAGGTAGTTTAGTAACTTTGCTCACTTTAATGAATTGTCCCCATTTGTCATCCCATTTTCTGCCCACTTGTGGAAAGAAAAAAAATGTTGGGGCTCACATGTATTATTTTTCACTCCATTTTCTCTTCCTTTCTCTTTTCTCTCCTACTAAACAACCTACATTTTCATTTTCCCTCCCAAAATCCCTCCACCTTCTTCCTTCCTTCTACTTTTCTTTCCTACCAAACATACTCTTAGTCTAAATCGCGCATTCTCGGAGAATCGGCAAACTACCCAAGTAGGAGATTCCGACTTTAAACATTGTATTGCACATGTTGAATCTTTGGTCGTGTTTAGAATTGATCCCGTTTTTATTTTTCATGTTTTTTTAGGAAAAAAAAAACGTTTTTAAAACGGTGTTTGGTGCAATAAAGACAAAAAATAGAAATGAAAACGATTTTTTAGTTTAGTGTAAAATGAGAGAAATAAAAAATAATTTTTAATCGTTTTTCATTTTTTATTTTCATTTTCTCCTATCTCGAGCAGAAAGAGAGAAAGAGAGAGAGAGACATTAATGAGTTTTTTTATACTGAAAATAATCTCTTGATAAAACTACCAAACGCATTTTTAAAAATAATTTGTCTAAAATTAAAAATATTTTCACTTTTATTTTCATATCAAAAATAAAATCATTTTAAAACGAGTTTCAAACACGCCTTTTATATTTTGAGGGGTCTTTAAAGATAAAAAAGACAAGTATGAGCATACCTTGATGCAATAAGTAGAAAGATATAGAAAGCAGTTTCACTAATGGCAAAGCCTTTTATCTTCTTTTCTGCATGTAGACCCACAAGCAAGTCAAGCTTCTCAACATCATCTCCATAAACCTCGCGAAGTGCTTCGACAACTTCCTCCTCATCTGTCAAATCTTCCCACTTGGTAATGGGAACCGTTAGTAAGTTCCTTCTGAACTCGTTATACCGAGCAACTCCTCTCTCTCTATCTCTGTAAACTAAGCATGTTCAACAAGATGTGGTAATCTCATTAGACAATGTCACATTAGACATACTCATGTTATGTGATGATATTGGCATACTACTGTAGACGTGGTAATCTCGTTACGTATGCTATGTTTGGTAGGATAGATAGAAAAGAGAAATGAAGGAAAAGTAAAATATATAAGTGAAAAAAGTAAAATGATTTTCTTTCATTTTGTTTGGTAAAAGAAAAAGAAAAGTGAAAAGAAAATATTAAATCTAAAGTATTTTACAATAATACCTCAATATAAATAAAAATATGATGAATAATGAATGTTAAAATTGTTATTTTACACATAATTTGTTTGTCTAATTTTTTCTCTCTTATTTTTTTTCTCAAAGTTGAAAGGATTAAAAATTAATGAGCCTCATAAATTTTTATTTTCTTTCTTTTTTCATTTTCTCTCTACCAAACAACCTAAAATTTTATTTTTCTTTCTAAAATCTTTCATCTCTCTTTTTCACCCTACCAAACACACTATTAGAGATAAATTTTTTTTTTTTTTGATGGTCTTACTTTCTAGGGCAGCCATATCAACAGGGTCTGGTCTATCTTCTCCATTGGCGTCATGGGCCACAAGATTTCTCATCCATGATGGATAGTTCCATAATGCGACTGCTCCACAAGTTTGATGACCCATTGATACCAGCATTTGCTCCATTCCAATTTTTGACAGTCTTTTCTCGCCTTCTTTGCCCACCATTTCCTCCATTGGAATCCTGTAATCATTTTGTTTGCAGCTCTTAGATTTTAGTGATGAGTTATTTCAACAATTTTTGCAACATAATTTAATGCATGTGACAACTTTTTCCCTCTAATATTCTTTGCTTTGAAGAAAATTTAGTCAAAGAAACTATGATCTGTTTTTGGGAAGCAAAAAGGTAATTTTTAGTTCCCCACATATTTAGGGGACGTTTGTTTTCTGTATTTATTCCTGATTCTAAATCATGATTCATGGTTCTTTATAATATTTTTTTTCACAAAAAATACACGTAAAATAAAAAGAATTCTGAATCATAATTTTAAATCTATGAACTAAACGTCCACTTAAACATCACCAAAACAACAAAATGTAAATAAAGTTGCCTATTAATATATTCAAAGGTAAAGAGACAAACTAATTGAATAGGGTGAAAAGTTAGAGAGAGATTACACACTCTTCTAGAATAGGAGGGCATTTATCTTCTGGAGCTCTAGATTTGATATCCCTAAGGATGAATTTGTCAGGTAGAAGTGAATGCATTCTGTATACACTCACAAACTCTTCAGTTAGTGAATAAGGAATCCCATGATCTCTGGGCTTCTTCAGACCAACCAATCCACTTAGTATTGGTCCAAAAATTGGCCCAAACATGTCTTTAAATCTCTTCCCCAATAATCCATACCTGCTCATCACAAAGACAAATAGAATTTACAGAATTACATTAATCAAGGGTTTTCATAGTAATGCATTAAGTATTAAAATGGGTCTACTTTTGGTGCATCACAATGAACAATTTACATTCTATTGTTAAATTATCCCAATTGAATCAGAAATTTTTTCACACTACAGATTATGTTTTCTTTAATATCTTTGTCCTAGTTTTTAGCCTTCACTACAACAAAAAAAACCAACTTTTAATATGTACTTCTTTTCTTCAAGTGTGACTGTTTTTCAAAAAAAAAAAAAAAAAAAAAAAAAAAAAAAAAAAAAAAAAAAGAGAAAATTTTTTTTTGAGGTTTTTTAATCGTCTTACCAGTTGATTCTCATCCCTACTAAAAGAGTATCAGTCTTTAGGAGTTCAACAGTCCAATCTATTGTGTGGACTTTAGCAATGACAGCTGAAGTCACCAGTCTTGCATGCCTGTAGAGCTTCTCATCATCAATATCTGGGTGATGCGCCTAAGGGAAAAAAAATGCTATTGTTACTTTATTAGTCAACCCAAAAAATTTATTTCTTTTATGTAGAGTTAATTACATATTGATCAAAATGCTGCATGTATATCAGAAAAGTTCTAGTAGACGATTAAAAAAAAAAATCAAATAACAAAAAACACAATCAAGTAACTTTTATATACTTCCATCATCATGGTTAAACTAAGAAATTTTAAACCAAAAACAAAATTTGAAACATTTAACATCCATGTGAAAAAAATGGATGGGAAAGAAGAAGTTACTTTTAGCATGTCACAAACAGCATTGTGTTCTTTGACAAACAAGGCTTGTAGGAGGGAGAACCCGGCCCAGCAATTTCGAACGTCGCCAGAGATAGGAATACCTTGCTCATCATGCTCAAGAAGCATGTCCCCTGAGATCTTCAGCTTCCCATCTTTGAATGTCCTTACTCTTCTCATACCTTCATTGTCATTCCCATAAAGCACACTACCATCCCTGCTCAAGAAGTACACATATATTACTTGGAACCCAACTACTTGACAAAACCCTTTTTCCTTTTAAGCAATATGCAATCTTGTGAATGGAATGCAAATGAAAATAACTAATTAGAGAGATAAGAGAGATCTATGGTATGACCTGAAAAAAATGCATTACTGGTAGGACTCTGGTTTTTTAGATAACTATAAGAAACTATATTAACTGAATTTTTTTTAAAGTAATTTTTAGTAAATCTAACGGTCAGAAACATGCATTATCAGTTCGAGACCCTGCCACATATATCCTTAAATGACTACACCGAAATATGGCAGGCATGCAAAAAATTGTTGAGTTTTGGGCTCAGCGTTTCTAGTTGTAATTGTTTATGAATGGGTTTTAGAATCTATTTTATAAGACGAATCATACGGATGGCGATCAATGTTACCATTTCAACTGCATATTGAGTCATTCCTCAATTTTTCCACGCCTATTTTATTGTCTCCTATTCATATACCTCAAAGATCTCGTATAGTAAGAATAACATATTAAAGTTAGGAACACTAAATGCCAATTTTATGTTGTTTATGGTGATCACAGAAGCCCTTTTTCCCATAACAAAATGCAAGTAGTAAAAATGGTCAAATGCCCTTTGCACGTACACTAATGCACTTTTAAATGTGCGATTTCTTTTTGTTTCTACTTCTCCTTTTGCTATAAGCAAAAGTTCAAATTCTTTATAAAGCACAAAATCCAAATTGGCCGTAAATTATTAAAAGAAAAAACTTAACCTCGGTTCATTTCACCGATTTAAATTTGGAATTCGAGTTTTGTTACAGTAAAAAGTTCTCAAAAACAGTCGCATTTAATTTTTTTATTACAGTAAAAAACTCTCAATAAAGTTACATCTCAACTCGAATCAACGAACTAAACGAAGTCTTTACAAAATGCAGAGAAAAGAAGAGTTGAGCAATTACCACCAAGGAGTTCTTGTGTTTAAACATCCAGTCTTTATGTGAGGCAAACTTGTGGAAACTTTCTTGGTCTTAAAGAACTTGAATGACTTGAGTGGACAGCCGCTACCAATTTCTTCAGCAGCTCTGATCTCCACCTGTTTCATGTTCACAAGTGCAATAACACTAATACTTATGTTCCTTTTGTTTCGAGGATTCTCGTCTGATTTAAAATCATAATTTAAATAGTTTTTAATTTGTTATAGTATTTTTTTCTCATTAAAAATTAGAATTATTAACTATGATTCTGGACTTATAAATCAAACGTCATCTTAATTATTTACCTTCTCTAGTCTTGTTAAAAACTATGAACACTTTAAAACAGGATACATAATTCGAGGTGTAGTTATGAAAATAATTCCAAAGTTAATCATATAATTTCTACAATAGTGCTTAAGATAGGATACGAGGGCTCACAATTTATACATACATACGTATACATATGTATGTGTATATATATATATATATATATATATATATATATATATACACACACCTGTTCAGTGTCCTCCAAATGATCAACCCAGTCATGTATCATGAATTGTATCCATGAGCAGGCAATCATGTTGAATTGCTTTCCATTATCTATAAACCGCTTCCTTGCCAAAAGCTTTGAGGCCACAACCATAGGATGAGGCTCCAGCAACTGCAGAAAGAGAATAATTAAGTGTGTGTTTGGTCGATAGATTCGTACTATAATTTGAATCATGGTTCGTGGTTCGCTACAATATTTTCTTTTATAAAAAATATACATAAATCGAGAATAATTCTGAATTACGGTTCTGAATCTATGAACCAAGTTTATATTGTATTCTATCATAGGCTTGTAATTAATTTCCTTACAAGCCAAAGACTCGGTATAGCATTTCCTCGTTTCAAATTTAAATAGCTCCACAACCAAATTGTGTGCGTTTATTAACATGTTTAATTATAAATTAAAAAATGTAATAAATATTCTTCCAAATTATAACATGTATAAAATCCAAGCCAGGCATTCTATTTGTTCCTATCTTATGCAGACGTTGTCGAAAAGACCATGGCAAAACCATGCGTTCATAATGAGTAAAGTTATTATTTTTTTAAAATAGAGGATTTATTTATTTATTTTGTTATAAGCAAATAGGAAGCACAACTTCGGCACTTAAAGAACAACAAATAAACTACAAGGGAACAAAACAAAAAAATTATGGACAACGCAAGCTGAGTAAATCAAATCAAATCCGTTGATTTTTATTTTTGATTAATTTGTCATATTGGAATTTTTATTTTTATTTTTTTGTTATTTTCGTTAGCGGTTTCAAAAATTTCTGACTATGTCAAAAAAAATTTATAACATTTTTTACTTTTAGTCTTTCTTATCTATTTTTATACATGCCATCTTTTTAGAAACTTAATGTTATTTTATGTTTTATGATTTAAGTAAAATTTCAGCTCATTAAATATCCTAAGAAAAAAGAATGATAGCTAATTTTGCACGACGAACTCAAATTTTCTATATATATCAATCAACACTTGTGTTAATTATAAGTCCAAATCCACCTAATGATTATACATGATATGATTTTGTATTTTTGTCTGCCGGTGAGCTTAAAAATTTCAAACCAAACACGCCGATTCAAAATATATTAATATTTAATTAATTGATGATTTTTTTCTTTCTATCCAACCAAATCGATTATAAACACCCCCTAAATTCAAGGTACTAACTATTTTAATTTAGATTCAAATTGTTTAAAGTAATTTGGGTGGATAAAATACAGTGGCCTTTCTCTTAAGAATTTATTTTTAAGAGTGTATGAGTCTGAATTTTTACTCGTTACTCTTAATAAATAATTTTTTTATTAGTGTAATTATTTAACTAAAAATATTATGAATCAAGAGTAAATAATAAAAATTATAACACATACACTTTTAAAAAAACAATTATGAATGATGATAGTTTGACCATGCCTAATGAATCGTGGCTAAAAGTATGATGACGTTTGGTTCATGAATTCAGAACTATAATTCAGAATTATTTTTGGTTTACGTGTGTTTTTTTATGAGAGAAAATACTGTAACGAGCTACAAATTATGATCCGAAATATAGTACGGATTTTTGTTCCAAACGCACACTATACTATTGGCAATAAGTTGAGCATGCCTAGAGAATACAGCTGAAATATATTATACGTACGTGATAAGTTGAGACCACGTACATGAATAATTTTCACTATGCACAAATTGGTACATAAGTGTCACTATGCTTTTTGATAATTGTTAATAATTTAAGAACTATTCATATATATATATATATATATATATATATATGTCGCTCACAATTAATAGTATAGGAATGTTTTGACGATACCACAATGCTAAAAACCAGTTGACCACTAGGGTAAGTTTAAACAGCACGCAATGAATAATCTTGGGTACCACTTAACCACCACAATTAATAAAAAACGGATTTGTGTAGAATCACTTTTTATTAGTATAGAACATATATATAGGTGTACCAACCATTGTTCAATATTAATGGGGACTTTATTTTTTTTTTTGGTACTCATTTATTTTTGGAGAAAAAAAGTAGGATGTAATTGACAAGCTTAGTACGTACCCCAAATCCTGAAGTCGACGGAGGCATGTTGCGGCCAAAAAATGTTCCTTGGCTTCCAATCAGATCGTCATTAGGGTGATTGCATTTCCCGTCCGGCGTCCGGTACCAAATTTCTCCGTTGTCGTATTCTTTTCCGACCATTTTTCCGACGTGCAATTGATTATAACGCTGATGCAGGTGCCTCCTAATGCCCAAGTATGCTGCTCCAAGTAGAACTGGTAGTCTGTACCACAATTCCAACTTGTCCAAAAAGTGTATAACCTGAAATCACACTCATATACATATATATATATATACAAAGTATTTACCTGATTAATATAACTATCATAAATATATATATATAGATATATATACAACTGTACTAACCCCAAACATGTTGCAAAGAAAAGAAAGGACTAATATATATGTATATATATATATATATAGCGAACTATAGAGAGAGAGAGAGAGATTTAGCACTAACATAGAACAAAAAGGTGTCGAAGAGAGTCATTTTGGCAACAATAGGCTGGAGTTGAGGATGGATGAAGGACGTTGAAGAAGAAAGACAGAAAGCCATTAATATTTCTGTAGGGGAATAGAAAAGATAAGAAAATACTTCTTATGCTGATTTTTCTTGCTTATCTGGCTACAAACACACACACACACACACACACATATATATATGGTCTCTAAAAAAAGCAGGGCGGATTTTCCTTGCTTAATTTCGATGCATATATATATATATATATATATGATAACTATGTATTAATTGAAATGATCATGTATGAGAATATATAATAGCCACAAATACGTCTAAACCTGTCCATATATGGAGATATCAGTAAGCGACATGTGCCCACTATTTTGCATTCAATACACTCCATTAAGCAATACCTACCACTGCCACTCCTTTTACTTTCGCATCCTAATTTAATTTAACACGCAAGTCTTTATCCATTTAAAAGTCCCCTATAGTACATGTATATACATATACATGATCTATTTATGTAACACGTATATATATACACACACACGCAAATATATTTGGTTTTCATATATAATCGAATTCAAAATTATGTAGGGGGGCCATTGGATTTCTTTAGAATTCTAAGTAATTTCTTTTGCGTTTTCAGCTTTTGATATGTGATCAGAATACTCTACAATAGTTTAATATAGATATATTGTATTAAGAAAAGTAAGAAATATATGGTGCGTTTGGAACTCGTTTCAAAATGATTTTATTTTTTGTATGAAAATAGAAATAAAAACGTTTTCAATCTCAAACATAAATTATTTTTGAAAATGTGTTTGGTAGCTTTATCAAGAGATTATTTTCAGTATAAAAAAACACATTAATGTCTTTCTCTCTGTGCTCGAGAGAGGAGAAAACGAAAACAAAAAATAAAAAACTAGGCCCCGTTCTTTTCACTTATTCGAGTTTAGAATTCGAGTTTTGCTACAGTAAAAAGCTCTCAAAAACAGTCACATCTAACTTTTTTGCTACAGTAAAAAGCTCTCACACAACATCACATCTCAACTTGAATTAAAAACTCAAATTAGCGAACCGAACGGAGTCGTTTTTCATTTTTCTCCCATTTTACACTAAACCAAAAAATCGTTTTCATTTCCGTTTTTTATCGTTTTCATATTTTCTTTCTTAAAAAATGTGAAAAACAAAAAAAGAACAATTCTAAACACGGCCATAAATTTTCATAAATCATATGTATATGATGTGGTACCATGAATTATTCCATAGATATATAGGCAGTTTCGTCTTTTGTCGCTATTCTTGCAATTTCTGTTTCCTTTGTTTCGTCTTGCATACGCAAATTTGACACAATGGCTCTCTATCCATTAATTAATTTCCATTTTCTAGAGATATATATACGGGTCTGTTGCCATGTCGCAGTTCCGAAGAAATCGTCAAACTCAATAATGCCTACATATGCTATATAATATAAGTTTGCTCACCACTAGCCATAAAGAGCCAAGTTTTCAGTTTTCTCTGGCTACACATTATTTAATGTGGGCTCTTGTCATTTGTGAAAAATAGATAAAGTACGGTCGTGGTAAAACACAAGTTGAAAGCAAAGGTCACGTAGTTGTTAGTCGTTACAATAAATAAGCAATCTGCAACTACGTTGAGGATTTGTTTGATATGTACCCCTTCAATATATATATATATACACATACATATATATGCATGATATCTTTTGGCTAAATATATATATGCCTGATGTTTCTGATGGTTACCGAATCAAATTCGGATGCGGAAGCGTGGGGAGGCAGATCGTGTATAACAAAAATTTTCATAAAATATTTAAGATATTTTATAGATTATATTAATTTATGCACGAATAAATTAATCACATTAATTTATTTATTAAAAACTCAATTACGAATAATACCCGACAGCCGATTAGGATGATATCTTGAGTTCTTTAACCTTGAACAATCCTTGCTCCAAAGCTTGTTATTTAGAAAACCAATGTCTTCCACGTCAATTCCTAGAATCCACGAAGACGTGTGTGTGGGCCCACATGAGACAAAACATGTTAGAATAAACACTCAAATTTTCACAAATACCAACGCATGCATGATGTGAAATTTTTGGAGAAAAAATTTTTCCTTCCCTCTCTAAGAGAATTTCGGCCACCCCTTTAAAATTAGGGCAAAAATTGTCTCGCGCAATTTTCTATCATTTATAGAGTAGAAGTCAAACTTTTAGAAGGAATCTAATCTCTATCTCCAAGATACAGCTTATTAATTATCTCCTATTTGAATTTGGAACAAACTCTCATCTTTTCCTTTATCCATTATGGCCGGCTATTGTAGGGGATTCTCATCCCTGTGTGGCGCCAATTTGCAGATAGGGAAGGAAGAAAAAATCATCATTTATCCTGTAGTCCAATTTTGACTCAAATTCAAATTCTAATTTAAGTCAAACTTAATTAATTTGAATTCTAAATTGAACAACTTATCAAATAAGTTTAAATGGATAAATCTAGATGTGTTCAAATTCAAATTTAAATAATCACATTATTTAAATAATAATTAATTCTCAATTAATTATTTTCGAGTGTTTAATTTTAGAATTCTGTAATTCTAAAATTCTCATTTTGCCCTTTGTGTCTGGTATAATTACTAGGACGACGCGGGGACTAATGGACCTATAATCCCGAGCTCCAATAAAATTAAAATTAATTAAACACTTTAATTAATTAATTAATTCTATTAATGCCAATAGCGACTCCACTATAAACTTGGAATTGCACTCTCGAAATTATAGATATAAATTACTTCTAAACTGTGAAGTGTCAATTTGATATAATCACTGCATATAGATCAATCCTCCATAAATAATTCATAATTAGAGCAAGGTAAAATCTGTTAACCTCTCTAATTACATATTTATCCTTGAGTATCATTGATTCTCTCATGGACAGTGATTCATAAAACATATTCATGAATCAGAGCTCCTACTGGTCCAAGTACCGAATCAACCCTCAAGAGAATTATTTATTTACTTCTTTCTTAATAATGAATGGATTCCATCTCATGTAATAACATTCCCTGCTACCTACTTCATCATGTCTCTAAAATACAAGGAATAGGATTCAGGATCTCAGAATCCGTACCGAGTAAATCAAAAGACACAAATTCATAAATAGGAGTCTGTTAAGAACTCATGATTAAGATCATTCTATATATGACAATCGGTAGACTAAATTAGAATTTCTATACTTAACAGAAATTATTAGAAATTCATATTGTGTCTGTGTCCCTGTTCCAAATAATCTCATTATGCGAAATACACTCATTCAATATCTCACCATATTAACAGTGCGGATAACACCGTTCCATTCTAAATGGGAATGACATGTATTAATAATGTTTTAATTAAAGATTCTGAACTTTAATTAAATTCATTATGAACATTGCTTTTTGATTATTATCCTTAAACATTATTCTCTCGTATATAACACTTATATACAATGTTTAAGGTCACATAAATAATCATGAAATTTTCATTGATATTCATAAAAATATTCATAAATATATACACAAAAAAATGATGAATAAACTCTTTTATTAAATAAATAATAAATATCCTATTACATCTTATACTTCTAAGACACCATTCCCAACAGTTTCAACTACTACTTGATAAAAATCTTGTCAATATGAAGAGAACATAAAATTCATGTTTTTTTCTCAATTCAATACGTTTCGAATTATAAAAATGAGAAATTCTACTTGATAGATGATGAAGAAATTACATAATGAATGGTGACAATTACATTAATGCATGTCAACGCATGGGATATCGCCCGTTTAGTTCGCTGATTCAAGTTGAAATGTAATTTTATATGAGAATTTTTTACTGTAGTAAAAAAGTTAAATGTGACTGTTTTTAAGAGCTTTTTACTGTAGTAAAACTTAAATTCTAAGCTCAAATCGATGAAATAAACGGGACCTAAGACCCTAAAGTCTAGACTCTATCCACGAATCCTTGTGTTTATCGCTTGATTCCAAAAAAAAAAAAAAAAAAAGATGTTTATCGCTTAATTACTAGTAAATTGATTTGATTTGTCATGCGGATTACCGGTTTCACTTCTGATTGTACGGAGGTTTGAATTCCGGCCTGTAAATAATAATGAACAATATTATAGCCAATTAAAATTTTATATACACGTCTCTTAAAAATTTCAATCATGCCTCGTATGTTTGCTTGTAAATATACCAATTGTTACAAATTAATTTAGAATCCAAATTAAGCTCGGATCACTTCAAGAGTTGCAAATTAGTGTTGACATGTCGCTGATTAATGTTAATTATCAAAAGAAAAGCTGCGTTTTTTTTTCTAACGTCGCTGAAAACCTTTAGAATTGGCTTTTGTCGTCTGTAAATATCTTACTGGGAAATTTTGATCACTAGCAAGCTTGTTAACAACGACTAAAGCCATTTCCAAATATCAAAGTTTCTACTCATGTTTTTGGTAAAATTCTTAAACATAATAATTTTATCCGAGCAATCCTTTTATAGCGCTTTCTTAAAAAAAAAAAAAAAAAAAAAAAAAAAAAAAAAAAAAACTCATTTTTATCAATTTAGTGATAACAAATGTTTGAATATGAAAATTTCATCTGCGCAGTCTTTTTACGAGCTCTTTTTTTAAATGAAATTCCAATTGCCATTTAGGGATAAAAAAAAAATGAATTTCGAAAATACACGTGGTGCTTTTTACATGTATTCTTAAACCTTTAAATTTCAATTGAATTTCAGCAATAACAAATGTCTTGGGTAAAATTTGTAGGGGTTGTTCCGCGGTTTCATTCTTGAGTTAAAAATTAAAAAAAAAAAAAAATTTGAGTTATAACTTTATTTAAGTTCATGTTTTTTTAAGTTTGAACTTGAGTTTGAGACTAAAACTCGAGTTTAAGTTTCCCTTTCAATTCAAGTTCAGAAACTCAAACTCAAATTAATGAACAGTATTTTTTCTATTCTTAAAAATGCTATAACTTTTTCGTTTTAATTCTAATTGAGATTATTTTTTTTCTATGCGTTGACAACGAAAAGACGAATAAAACTCCACCCATATACCCTATTAAAATTTTCCATCAGCATTGAGTTTTTATTAAAATACTATCTAAATATAAATTCAAGTTTTGACTTACTCAAACACAAACTCAAAAAGATTTTTATCTTAAATCATAACTCAAATGTACACAACCAAACACAAACTCAAGTTACAACTTCAACTCAAGTTATAACTTAAACTCAACTCAAAATTTACACTCAAGTCACCGAACTCAAAAATGACAAAAGGACAACCCCGTAGTTATTTAAACCCTGAGTGCTCCTCCTTCATTTGCCTCAAAAAATTTTTTTTTTTCATTTTTTCTTTCTTCTCCCCATTTCCCATGTCACCGATGTAGTCTAGAGCTTTGCTGTCGCCCTTTATGGCGCTCCGCCTCTCCATGCCACTCTTCTCTCTCTTTCTCTCTATTCATATATATAAGCATATATTGCGGTTCATCCAGACGGACCATCCATCCGTTTGTGACATATACTTGGTAGTTTTAAAGTGTGGTTTGATTGGACCTTTTAAGCATCCTCTTTCATTTTACTGATTTGAGTTTTTAATTTCAATTTTAGTATAGTTGTTTTCGTTATTTGACTTGGCAATTCCGTAAATTTATGCCACCATGAATGTGTCTTTAGGTAATGTTGCATGTTGTAGAGTTGATTGAAATATTTTTAATGTACCGTTTTATAATTGCAAATGGAGACGTAACTTTCATATGGAATAACATAACAATGGTACAAGTAACTCTGTGCAATTTTTTATTTAAGCGATGAAATTAAATATTCAATTTTGAAAATTAATGAACACATATTGTATATTTATTTAGAGTGATGCTGCATTACCTTGCTTAATGTAATAAAAAAAAAAAAAAAAAAAAACAAACCCGCATAACACCCAAAATAGAATGAAACATGACGTCTTAGGACCTTAGGACTTTGTTTTTTGATTGTCGTGGTCACGAATAGTATTGTAAACTTCTGAATAACACATTTATGATATGTTTACTTATCAGGATTGAAAAATGAGAGTCAATCTCATGTTTACTTGTTCTTTTTTATCTTAGAATGAGAGTAAGATTGGTGGGTCCCACTCAAATTTGAGATTGAGAAATGAGATTGACACTCCCATGTCCCCTTGGAATTGAGACTCTCATTCATAATATTAATATTAATTTACTATCATACCATTACTTTGCTTATAAATACACAATTAAAAATAAAATTAAAAAAATAATAAATGCAACATATATTTATTATTTTATTTGTCTAATATTATAATATTAGCATAATTATTGTTAACTTTAATATAATAAATATGTACTTTATTTTTTAATAAATTAATAATATATTTTATTTTTTAACACTATATTTTATTTAATTTTTTTTAAAATTTATTTTTATATTTTAAATAGTTGTACAATTTATATTTATTATTTTAATACCCAATTATTACACTAAATATTTTAATTATGATTAATTTTAATATAATAAGTACACAATATATTTTTTAAATTGAAAATATTAAATTGATTTAAAGGGTATATTAGTACTTTTATACTTTTTTATTCCGATTCTGGGTGTAAGTAAACGTATGAATGAGATTTAGAATGACTCTGATTCCGAATCATATCACTAACTAAACAGCTTATTCTGACTCCGATTCCTCACTCCGAATCCTACCCACTCTGAATCATGCCCACTCTGATTCATGTTCATTCTGATTACGCGTAGGTAAACATGTCATTAGGGTGACATCCCTAGTTATGAGCTCACCAAAATAATATCTTGCGCCTTAACCTGAAATTTAACAATATATACGAGAGGTTGTCATATGTAATAAGTTTGGGCTGATATATAGAATGTGTATTAAAAAGGAAAAAACGAAAAAAAAAAAAAAAGATCATAATGTACTTGTTGATTAACAAATACAACTTTTCAAATTTCAGGGTTAATTTATTCATGGTATACTTGTTAATAATTCTTGTGCCTTTAAATAAGAGATTTTGATATATATATATATAGGTTTGGGCGGAACATTAGAAATGGAGAGATGGTTTTTGTAGTCTATCAGCCTAAAATATATTTTTTTTGTTTTTTTGTTTTTGTTTTCAAAGACTTCATAAGAAGAGCCAAATTGTTCTATCCAATTGTATAGTTATTTCACTACTTACTTGTGGCAAATGACTAATTGCATAAAAGTCAAAGTACCAAATAATTTTGGATCAAACATTACTCAAGCCTAACATTTTGCAGAATACCTTATTCCCTCTTAAAGTTTACAGCTGAAAATTTTTCTTTTTCTCTGGAAGAGATTGAAATATTTTCAAATGTAATTGAAAACAATAATATGACAATCTTTCCATTTGAAAAACAAAAACCTTGGTAATAAAATTTTAATAAGAACTCATCTTGACTTGTTTACTATTAATAGTGATGAGTTATAGAAAATTAGGAGACCTCTATTAGATTGTTTTTGAATATTAACGATTCTGTTTAAAGTAAAGCCGCAACAATGATGTCATTATAAATAATAATGAACTAAAAAGTTCTCATATTTTCAACCTGTCATTATATTTTCATTTAACTTATTAAATACGTACATTATGATAGTTTTAAAACAAAAATTAAACATGCAAAAAAGAAAATTAAATAGGACTGACTGAAAGATATCAGTTTATTTCCCATAGGCTATAGCATTTTTTCATGGAAATAGTAAGTTTATCATGAACACAATAATGAAATATTTGCCATGAAAAAAAAATAGATTATTATCATTGGTACTAACACTTGATTTAAGAACCTTATGAGGAGAGAAATCCTGGGTACAAGTGTTGGGGGGCGCAAAAAAAATTCTTGAGGGCCACTAGGTACTCAGAAGGAACAATACGTATGAGTAACGAGTATAAGATAAGATTATGCGAGAGTCCTGCGAGATGAATCTCATGGAGGTTGAGGCATTACATAAAAATCATATAGTCACATTTAATATGCTCATTTTTCACCTAATTTCAACATAAATTCTTACAAAATGGCTTAAATGGGACATTCAAAATTTAAGGAGTAAAGTAAGAGTTTTCAAAATTTAAGGAGTAAAGTGAGAATGATGTCAAATTTAAAGGGCACCAATGAGATTAATAAAAAAAAAAAAAAACATTATCTAACGTTTTCATTATTCAGTGTTGCTTGATTCTCTGAGATCTACAACTTTTATGTTGAACCCTCAGAATAAATTCGTCCATTTACGGGTACTTCCCTTACAGACCGAAACTTAAACCAACATTTTCTCTACCTTCCAGTCAAAATTTGGGTAAAGTAACCCATGAGTTTTGTTCTACTTAATGAGATCTAGAACTTTGGTCATTGACCTAAGTTTGATTCAAACCATAAACTGGTCGTCCACACGGAGATGCATTTTCGGTTAAAAACGGACTATTTTGCTAAACATGCTCAAATTATCATGTTTAGCAAAATATTCATGCCACATTATACATTTTCATGCCAAACTAGTGACATTTACATTTTTACTACCACAAAATCAAATTTTATTGCATTTCTTCATAACATCTTCTCAATCTCCTCATATATCAAGGAAACATACAGCCCTAAACATGCTCGTCTACTCAGATCCACAAATCAACACTCTGGAGCTAAGGTTCCTAGCTAGTTCAAGTCACCATTCTTAGCATGCTATAACAAAATCTAAACTCGATTTCTCCAAACAAAATTTGAGTTCCTTACCTTATTTTTTGTTGACCTAACACCCTGAAGACCTTAGTTCCCCACTTGATAACACTCTCTTTAGAAGGAATTAAAGTAGATCAAGTTTCCTTGCCAAGATTCTTCCTCAATATTTGAGCTTCAAACTTGAAATCAAGAGTGGGAGTATGAAGAAATTTTTGACAGAGGGGAGAAGAGGGAGCCAATTTGGAGGAAGAGGGTGAAGAGATTTTTTTTTTTTTTTTTTTTTTTTTTTTTTTTTTGTCTTCAATTTCTTAGGGAAAGTGAAGAAATGACAAATTTTAAATCTCATCTCAACTATTTATAGACAAATTCATGAAGGGCTTGTTTGCAACAAAATTTTTTTACTATACGGCCCTTACAAAATTTGGCCATAGGGGAGGGGGCTTAGTGCAAAATTTTTAAATTTTTTAGGTGTATGGTTTTAACTAATGGTTTAAGAATCTCATGATGACATTATTTTTTTTTTTATCTTAGCTCTCGTTCAGTTAATTGATTTAAGTTTTTAATTTGAATTCAGATATAATTTTATATGAGAATTTTTTATTATAATAAAAAAAATTAAATGTGACTTTTTATGAAGTTTTTAATAATAATAAAATTAAAATTAAAAATTTAAATCGGTAAAATTAACGAGAATTTATTATCCAACATACTTTTCACCGTGGATCAGTTCTCCCTAGTCATCATTCTAGCCTACTCATTGATATAGTGGAGTCAAATGACTTATTTTAGTTTGAATCCTGTGTGAGAGATCTTATTTCAGTTTGGTGTTCTTTATGCTTTTCAATTGCAAGATTCGAATCCAATAGCTCTAAAAAGTTACCCTATCGATAAGAAAAAAGGTAATCACCCTACTATAGATATGCCTTTAAAATATATAGGTAAATATTAATGTGACGTTTGATTTATAAGTTTAAAATTATGAGCCCGTTTGGTAAAGGAATTCGTTCCTTGATTCGAATCATGATTCGTGAATCGCTACAGTATTTTCTCTCACAAAAAATACACGTAAATCGAAAATAATTCTAATCACATGGTTCTAATTCATGAACTAAACGGGCTCGTAATTTTTAAAATTTAAATTTTTTATAAGAAAAAAATATTATAACGAACTAAGAATCATAATCTTAAATCAGCTAGAATTCTTGAAGCATAAAATTTGTTTGGATAAATACGGGGACAGATACGATATACAGCTAAAATCCAGGCATATTTTTTCAATTTCCTATAAAAAAAAACAACAAACACTGTACACATTTTTATATAAAAGGTACTGTACTTGCACACGCAAAACTTGTCCTCCTTTTCCCTCTTTTTAGAGGGTTTTTGGTTTCTCAAACCTTCTTTGCCGTTTTAAACCTCCCAAACACAATTAACACTCCACTTCTTCTCTCCTCTCCTCTTCTCCTCTTCGCAGCACCAAAACAATGGCGATGTCTCCTAAACAAGAAGAAGAAGAAGAAGAAAGAGAGCTCTCCGGTAGCGAAGACGACGACGTTTTGGACGAGGACATGGAAGCCCTAAGGCGTGCCTGTATGATCACCGGCACCAATCCCGACGATGCCGCCGCCGCCGCCGCAGGAGGAGGATCCAACTCCGATGAGGATGAAAACGCTGATGAAGACAACGACGGTGAAGACCTTGTGTTGCTTCAGAACATTCGGAATCGGTTCTCAATTCCCTCCGTTGCGTCCGAGCCTCTGTCGATGAAGCCGCTTTGCACTTTGCCGCTGAGTATGTCCGATGAGGAAGGGGACGACGATTTCGAGACCTTGCGCGCGGTTCAGAAGCGCTTCGCGGCCTATGATAATGGTAATTCCAGTTCCTTTTTAAATGTTCCTGATTAATTTCAATGTATTGATGTTTTAATAATGATTGCGTAGATGCTAAATTTTAATAATGACTGATATATGTATGGACTTAGATTGTTTAGGTGAGCATTATATGTGAAAATTTAGGCGATAATGGTTGTTGTGGACTATTTCTTGAATTGAAGTTTTTATCTTGCTATGCACTTTTCTGCCTTGTTTTGATATATCTGAAACGTGCAAAAGTTATGGACTATGAGAAAAACTTGGTACATGTAATTCTTGTTGGTTATTTCTTGAAATTAGAGTTTTATTTCTAAGAGCGTTTGCTTCCCCTGGAGACCTCACGTCTGACAATTCTTAAATCTGAGGACGTTTTTGTTTTTTCAATTAGTTCTTATTTCCAAATTACCAATATTTTTATGTTTGATAGTTCAGGTTTGTTCTTGGTTATGCTATTTATATATCCATTTTCGATTTTTGGTTCTTATTTGATATTTCGGACTGCCTAAGATTTAAGCTTATACTTACTTTTGTTTTTGCGTATGTATGCTATTCATGACTCCATTAAATTTTCCATTTTTTTTTTTTGTTTTTGCCTTCTAACTTCTCATGATCATCATGTGAATTGTAATGTCAGACTCCCTGCATCAATATGATTGTTCTTCCTTGCATCAGTATGATATTCATTGCTACTAATGCTTACATAAGCTTTAAGGCTAATTAAATTCATTAACTTTACCTCGTGTGTAATAAATGGTGGTCTGGCTTTCAGTTCTTGCATATATGGAAGAATTATTTTTTGTATGCAACTCTTTGATTATTCCCATATCTGTGTATGAATGAAAAAGACTTCCGCCCAGCACTTTGGTTCATGCGTACTGAACCCCTAATGCTTTTGGTTGTTCTTTTTCATCTCTGCTCCATGTTTCTCTAACCACATATTTATCCTTATATTTTCAGATGCTTTGAAAAATTTCTCAGAGAAACAAGAACAGGTTTGTTGTATGTCACCACAGAAGAAGGCTTCCAATGATTTAGTTGTTGATACTTTTGATGTTTGCAAAGGGCTTTTAGATTCACAGTTTGCTTGTCAGACCACCCACCTTTTGGATGACCATTTGGAAGAGCCGCCTTCTACATCCATTGAGTGGCATCAAACAGATTCCTCAAAGCCATCCACGTCTGAACCTAGCTATTCAAGCTTCCCAAAGTCTGCAAAGGTGTTCATGGATGCCATTAAGAAAAATAGGTCCTTTCAAAAGTCTTTGCGAAGTAAGCTGATTCAGATTGAAGCAAAAATTGAGGAGAACAAGAAGTTGAAGGAGCGTGTTAAAATCCTCAAAGACTTTCAGATTAATTGCAAAAGAAGGACAGGACGGGCATTATCCCAGAAGAAGGATTCTCGTGTTCAGTTAATTTCAGTAAAAAAGTCATTGCCCTCTAAGGATTCAAAGGTTAGTTCTCAATCATGCTTTTAAATAGTTCAATTTGAATCTGTTTGATGTACATGTACTTTTTGAGTGAATAACTCTATCCTTGGCTTCCCCACCCCTCTTGTTTATTGCTCCTATCAGTATCAATTCTATACTTTTTTATTATTATCTTTCACTTCGTAAGTCAAACCTTGATCCTAAAACTAATTATCTAGAATCTACTCTTGAGAATTTAGTGGGGAAACACTCTATTAGCTTTGGTTGCTTGGATCATTGTGACTGATGCAAGGTCTAATAGTGAATAGTGTAAGAGCGTGATAGCATCTGCCTCTGAGCCCCTAAAAAGTTATATTTTATTTTGGTTGACATATGCTAGCTTTTGGCATGTTGCGGTGTGTTTAATTTGCCTTACCATTTTGTTCCTTTAGGCTTTAGCCAATAGATAAGGCAACTAAAGATTGTTTTGAAGTAACTTGGATAATTAGCTAAAGTTTTCAGGTTTCTTTTAGTGTGATACTTATTATGAATTCCAGGCGGCTTTATTGTAATGTTGACACATATTAAGTCTTGCAGGTTCATGAGAAAAAGATCCCTGCCATGTATTATGGACCAATAGAAAATTCTCATGTTGCAAATTATAGAATCGCTTCAACACAGTTACCACTATCATTAGAGCGTAAAAAATGGTCAGAGGTAGAGAAGAAAAATCTTGAAAAGGGAATTCGACAGCAGTTTCAAGAGACGGCACTTCAAATCATGCTGGATCAATTGAGGTATCTCTCTCTCTCTCTCTCTCTCATTGTGATGGTCCCTTTTATTTCCCTAGTGGTGATGTTTGTCTTCCCTCAAATAGTAAGGCAGACTTTAGGTCTTGGACCTTGGCTTACAACTTTTGTGTGTTCACACAGTGTGTAAAGTGTTTTACCCGATTATTTTAGTGCTTTCTTTTTTTTTTTCATGTATTTTGTTTTGGTGATGTTGTCTATGAGACTGTGATAGCCAGAGATCCCTGATATTAATAGTGTTGCTCATTCACTGTTGGGAAGACATCCTTGTTAGATTTTAGTTACGTACAAACACTTGTAGACATATTTGAAGAGATAAAACAAATTGTTAACAACATTAATTCATGACTAAGCAACTTGCCAAAGTATTTTGCATTAGCAGTAACAATTCCTCCAACCCATTTTGTTCAAACGTATACAATATTAGAGTTCTGATATTTGCTTTTTGCAATTGGCATCTAGAGTTCGTGAAGTTCTTTTGTTTTATCTTTTAGCGACTATCATCTGATGTTGATGACAATAACTAAGCAAAATCTGCTCTACACTTTCGTATTGATTGGTTAAAAGGTCTGAAAGAGAGTGTTATTCTTGGGGGTTGGTACCTGTTTGTACCAGATTCAAAGGATTCAAGGCAGCATAATAACATTCCTTCGGAAACCAAAAACAAGAATCTATTTGAGTCTGAGATGAAAGATATATTGTTCTGCTGTTCCTCCTTTCTTTCTTTCTTTCTTTTTTTTAAAATTTATTTTATTTTATTATTACTTTACTCTTTTTTCTTTTCTTTTTTTTTTTTGCATTTCATAGAATGTATATGATACTTGAGATTTTTTCTTGGATTTAATGTTCTTAGAGCAGATTCACCCTTTCAATTTCTTTGTGGAACACATTTTAGTGGAGAGTTATTAAAACTTCGTAAAGAGGAGCTGTATGTGTAGTCCCCAAACAAAAACATAGAGGTGACAGAGTCACGTGGGACACGAGAGAATTAGAGGAAGAAGGGTTATAGTGTTTAGAGAGAGAGAGCTTGGGGATTAAAAATAATCAAGTCTTCTATGAATTAACAATCACTAGGCCTATTTATAGAGAAACTTTAGTTATATCTCCAATGGACCAATGCAGCCAGGATGATATGCCACTATGGTTTGAAAGGCCATGTCTAACCTGCGTTTTCCAAGCTTACAGGTCTGAGATGGTGTCCCTGTAAATTTTAATTTCAAAACGAGGCTAGGAATCTCTTTTTTATATATAAAATTGCATAACTCGTAAAGTTATAACCGTAGTAGATGTACTTGTTTATATGTATGTATATTTTATGTTTAAATTGGGTTTTCTTATTTCTTTTTTATTATTTTACTGTGGTAGCCCTGTTTTAGCTGATTTTAGTTTGGGTGTTGAGAATAATACTCTGAGAATACACGGTTTTTCCTATCCCTTAGTTCTTTTCATTTTCTTTTATCTTGTATGTATTGCACGTATTGCACTAATGATTTTACCCTCTCTTTTTTTCTTCTTTGTGTTTTGCTAGACATTACTTATCTGAATTCTTCCTGCATATATTAGCTGACTCCACTTTTTTCTTTGTAAACAGTGGTACAGGGGAATCCTCTGGAAACTTGAATGATCTTGATAACATTTTATTATCAATAAAACATCTCGACATCACCCCAGACAATATGAGAGAATTTTTGCCCAAGGTTAATTGGGAACAATTGGCTTCCATGTATGTTGCGGGACGTTCAGGTGCTGAATGTGAAGCGAGGTATGCCTTAACTTGTTATAACTTAATTATAATGAGATTACTGAATGAACAGTTCAATTCTACATTCTTGTGCCTTTTGATGAACATTATATCTTACATTTTATTAAAATACACAACTGGCCTAATCCATTTGCCCGCTTTGGGGGGAAAAACAATTGTACACAACTATCAGATGGATCTGTATTAACTTCTTTACTTCTTTTGATGGCTGGATGCGGAACTCAGACAATTCTAGCATTCAATTGGTAAAAAATAGTGCAATTTAATTTGAAGGAATTGATATTGAAACCTAGCACTTTTACAAAGCTATCTAATAGATCATTTTGTGGAATTTCTAACAACCAAATACGTAGTAAACATCAAATGAGTCCAATGACAGTGAGGATTCTCTTTTTGCATCTTTCTCTAGGTCTATTTTGTTATTTTCCCTCAACATGTACATTCCTTGACTAGTGCTTTATGGTTGTTGATTCCCCCCGAAGCATGTGTCCTTCCACGAAGCAAGCTTCGCAGATGTCTATGACGATCACCATCACAGACAAGTACCATTATTGGATTTTGTAAAAATTGCTACATCAGCATAGGTCATTCAGGTGGGACCAGTACATGACGTGCTTTACTCAAAACAGCGGTGTTTGAGTACGTCTGTGATGTTGTCATCACAGACGTCTGTGATGCTCATTTTTATCCTTGAACCTCATTCATCATACAGACATGGACCACTGCGTTCCAAGTTTAATTAGTTTAACGCGTATGATTCATACCTGCAGGTGGTTGAACTTTGAAGATCCTTTGATCAATTGTAACCCATGGACTGCCCAAGAGGATAAAAATCTTTTGATTCTTGTCCAGAAGAAGGGGATCAGTAACTGGTTTGACATTGCTGTATCGTTGGGAACAAACAGGACTCCTTTTCAGTGCTTGACACGTTACCAGAGGAGTCTGAATGTTTCCATATTGAAAAGGGAATGGACCAAGGATGAGGATGCTAAGCTTCGTTCTGCTGTTGAAGCATATGGTGAGGGTGATTGGCAGTTTGTGGCTTCGGTTTTGGAAGGGTGGACTGGTACCCAATGCTCCAACAGGTTAGAGTATCTCCAATGCAATGTTATAATTGGTGTGACAATTGCAAATTTAACATTTGAGTGCAATTTATACTTTCCAATGCAATGCTATTTGTTGTGTCAAATTTCCCATATGCTATACTTTATGGCAAATTTCCCACCAAGTATAGCATATGAGAAATTTGGCATTTTATTACTATTGGTTGAAATGTTTACTTTTTCTATGTAATCAATGCAACTTTTTGCATTTTTTAATTATTTTAAAAATAAAAGCTTACTTTTACAACTTTCAAAGCTTAATATGTATAGGAGAAAGTAGATTTAGGGGTTGTTCTTTTGTATTTTTGAGTTAGGGTGATTTGAGTGATGATTTTAAATTGCGTTTGAGTTATAACTTGAGTTGAAGTTGTAACTTGAATTTGTGTTTGGATATGCACATTTGAGTTATGATTTGAATTGAGAATCATTTTGAGTTTGTGTTTGGGTGAGGCAAAACTTAAATTTGTATTTAGATAGTATTTTAATAAAAACTCAATGGTGATGAAAAATTTTAATAGGGTATATGGGTGGGGTTTTATTCGTCTTTTCATTGTGAATGCATAGAAAAAAAAATCATCTCAATTAGAATTAAAACGAAAAAGTTATGTCATTTTTAAGAATAGAAAAAATACTATTCATTAACTTGAATTCGAGTTTATAAACTTGAGTTGAAGGGGAAACTTGAACTCGAGTTTAACCCCAAACTCGAGTTCAAACTCGAATTCAAACTCGAGTTCAAACTCAAATTTTACAAAAAAAACATGAATTTAAATAAAATTGTAACTCAAGTTAAAACTTTTTCTGAGTTTTATTACAAAAGAACAACCCCTTGGCATTTCAAATAGCATTATGCATTGGAGCAAAAATAAAAATAACATACATAAACCATATCATACTTTTTGATGCTAAATATACAATTAGCATTAATATTTGTATTGGAGATGGTCTTAGTTAGCTATTCTAGATCTACTTGCTTGTATATTTAGTTTCTCTGAAGCAAGAACTATATGATGGTTTCGATATTGAAGAAACAGCAGGAGGCTTCAAACTGAAAAATATTATGATTCCTGCCAAAACACACGCCATTCATTGAGATACCAATCTAGACTTGCACATCACGAAGCCTTTTTTTTTCTTTTTTTTCTTTTTTTTTTTATGTTTGCAAAGGGCTAATGTTAATTTTCTTGAATTTATGGCCACCATAGTGTTTTTATCTATCCTTCTGATTGAAGTGCATTTCTTTTTACCTCTTGAGCGTCCTAGAAACATTTTTTTTTTTTTTTTGTAGCTCGAAAACTATTTCGCAATGATTTCATCTGTTCTTGTTGACTTTCCATCTGAGTCAGATTTTACTACATCTAACTTATGCTTGATGCATGTCATGGTGTTTACATATCTTGTTTGTACAAACTACCCAGTGCTCCATCAAACTAGTCTGTTGGTGCTTGCAAGTTATTAACATACTTATATGACCACTTTATGCTAGGTGGAAAAAATCACTCCATCCAACCAGGGAAAGAGTAGGCAGGTGGACTCCAGATGAAGACAAACGACTGAAAGTAGCTCAGATGCTTTTTGGGCCAAGAAATTGGAAGAAAATAGCACAATTTGTGCCAGGTCGGACAGAGGTGCAATGCCGAGAAAGGTACTTTCAACGAACTGGTCAAGTTCAAATAAATTTATTTTGATTTGAGAAATTCATAACTTTTAAATTCTCATGGCAGATGGGTCAATTCTCTAGACCCTTCTTTGAATTGGGGCAAATGGACTGCCGAAGAAGATTCCAAACTAAGAGAAGCCACTGTAAAACATGGACATTGTTGGTCTAAGGTTGCTGCAGCTCTTCCAAGACGAACTGATAATATGTGCAGGAGGTATGAAGTCTGGGATAGCAAAAGCCATATAAATATCCCTGGAGATTTTTCTTCTATACCCATTATATACCCATTGCTGCCTGGGTGTGTTTTAAACCTGCTCTAAATTCATCTTTCTATGAATCCAGGAGATGGAAGAGGTTGCATCCTGATGAAGTGCATTTGCTTCAAGCCGCAAGGAAAATGCAAAAAGCTGCTCTTATATGCAACTTCGTAGATCGAGAGTCAGAGCGTCCTGCCCTTGGCCTTAACGATTTTTGTCCACTAATGATAACCTCTGGCGAGAAAGTAAATCATTGTAAGGAACAGTCTGGAAAATTAAGGTATATTCTTTGATAAAGACTTCTTCATTTCTACGATTCTTTTTGGTGCATATGTTGTGTTGGCTCTAATATCTACTCACTGTGGACAGAAGAGGTCTAATATCTGGGAAGAAAAGAATCAAACCTTCCTGGTAAGTTGCCTTCAAATTCTGCAGTTTTGTTTTAAGCTTCTTCATTTTCGTTTCCCTTTTACTCTTCCTGTTTGGACATATTCTTGGAGTTCTGCATTCTTTATGATAGAACATTGGAAAATCTACAGGCTACAGCTATTCTTATTTGGCAGTGCTTTATTTCACTCTTATTTTCACACTTTTCTTAATTTTTTTTTTTATTTCTTTCATTAAAATGCAGCAAAGTTACAAAGAATAGGAGATCTAAGAAGTCGACGGAAAATGCTCAAACAGGTACAGAGGAAGGCTTGGAGATAAATAATCATGATGAGGTTGAAACATTTGATGAGCCAGAAGCTACTATTGAGCAAGGTTCAGAAAATAATAATTCGACGAAACCTGGACAGGATCATCCACCATCTCCTCAGATCAGCTCAGAAAATGGAAAAGGACTAACTGGACCTGATGGTAAGAGGAAAAAACAATCTCGCAAACCGCGTTCTACAAGGAAGGAACATACTGAACCTGATGAAGTAAGGGAATGTCTTCCCTTGCAACCTGAAAGTTTGAATTTAACAAGTAACGGTGATGGGATTGAGCCTCTAGCTGAGACCAATACTACTTCGACTGACACAAGAGGAGTTTCCAAGAGAAAATATAGTAAGAATGTTCGCACTACAAACTTGGAAAATAATAATTTGATGAAACCTGGACAGGATCGTCCATCATCTCCTCAGATCAGCTCAGAAAATGGAAAAGGACTGACTGGAGCTAATGGTAAAAGGATGAAACAATCTCGCAAACCGCGTTCTACAAGGAAGGAACATACTGACCCTGTTGAAGTGAGGGAATTGCTTCCCGTACAACCTGAAAGTTTGAATTTAACAAGTAACAGTGATGGGATTGAGCCTCTAGCCAGGACCAATACTATTTTGACCGACACAAGAAGAGTTTCCAAGCGAAAATGTAGTAGGGAAGTATCTGAAAATAATAATTTGATGAAACCTGGACAGGATTGTCCATTATCTCCTGAAATCAGCTCAGAAAATGGAAAAGGACTGATTGGACCTGATAGTAAAAGGAAGAAACAATCTCGCAAACTGCGTTCTACAAGGCAGGAAGATTCTGCACCTGCTGTGAGGGAATGTCTTCCTTTCCAACCTGAAAGTTTTAATTTAACAAGTAACGGTGATGGGATTGAGCCTCTAGCTGGGACCAATACTAGTTTGACCAACTCAAGAAGAGTTTCCAAGCGAAAATATAGTACGAATATAAGCACTACAAACTCGGAAGAACTCCAGAGTACCACTGCGCATTCTGGAAAGTCATTGCTAACAGGAACTGATGATGTCAAACATCAGCGTAATGGTTCATCTTGCATGGACACAACGCAGTTACTGATGACTAATGTTGAAGATGTTACATTAGATGGAAACACACTCTGCAACGGGAAAAAAGGTACTGAGCCGGCTGGAGTTTTTGAGGATGTTTTACCTGTTCCTCCACAAGACAATGAGCTGCAAAAGGTAAAACCTAGAACTAGAGGTACTTCTCATTCGGATCAGAATTTCGGCAGAGCAGATGATGAGATTCTACTTGTCCGCTCCACAAGCAAGAAACTAAAGAGGAGAAAACTTTTAGTTAATGATTGTCAGAATAAAACCTCATTATCTCCGTCGGTCATACAGGAGTCAGAGTTGTTTCCAGTAGTTACGCTTCATGATGGAAATTCAGTGTTGTCTGCCATGCAAGATGATGAGTTAACGTGCTGTGATGGTGGGACTTCTGAAAAATTGTCAGCTTGCAACAGAGAGTCCAGTCTTTTGCTGGAACAATGTACTGCAGTGCCTACTGAAAATGAGCCCGGAAGTGAAAATCTAGTTGGAGGACAGACAGTTGCCTGTGAGGAGCTGGTGAAGGAAATGGTTAGTGTTGACGCACAAAGTGGTAATAATGATGATGACACTTCTTTAGCTTCCTTAGTGCAAAAGAAATTGAAAAAGGAGCGCCAAACATCCAAGAGGGGTACTCGAGCCTGTCTGCCCTCCAGTTTGATAAGGGGATCTCAATTGCTTTCCAAAAGAGTAAACCAACTTCAGGACGGAGACTATACATCCTCTGTTCCCAGTGGACTAGATCCACTCACAGGACCAGAGGTGGCTTTTGATAAACAACAAAGGGAAGAGGCAGAAGATGACAACGTGGTCGGTGATATGACTCTTTCTTGTTTTGTGCAAAATAAATCAAAAAAGAGGCGGCTACAATCTACCGATAAGTAGTTCTTAAGTGTGCTGTTCATTCTACGCAGTAAGGTTGGAGTATATAAATGTGCAAGTGAAACTTCTTTTATAGTGGCATTGCTTAGAAACTGGCTGAAATTGGTATTTATCTCGCGCTGGATTTTATTTGGTGAGAGATGATAGTCCCTCTCCATAATTCACAGATCAATTTCCCTCCAAGAGTTCGGGTTTGTATATAGAGTTGAGTTAGGTTGGTATAGAGAGTTTTGAGTTATTTGTGACAAACAAAGAAATGAGATTATTGACTACGGTATACATTCAATTTCTAAATTAGTTTCCCTGCTCCAAATAAAGACGGTGGAAAAAGTTCAAAGAGAATGATAAGAGGTAGAGCGGATGTGCATATACTTTGCTTCCTGAAGAGAGAAATTTTGATGAGTTAAGGCTGTTTATTATTGGTTTTATATTTTCACGAGATCAGTCAGAAATTATTCATTACTTTAATCTGCTTGCTTTTAGTTTTTTTTTTTTTTTTTTTTTTTTTTTTTTTTTTTTTTTTTTTCATATATCTGAATTGGAAGTTATTGGGTGCGTTTGGAATTGGTTCTAAAACGTTTTTATTTTCTGTACGAAAATGGAAATGAAAACATTTTCATTTTCATTTTTGAATTATTTCTGAAAATGCGTTTGGTAGTTTTATTCAGAGATTAATTTCAGTTTAAAAAAAAACTGAAATTGCGTTTGGTGGTTTCATTTTTGAAAACATGTAATAGTATTTAATATATTAAATAAATAATAATTGAATCTCAAATAAAAATACTAATAATTAATAAAATATGGAAATTACAATCTTAGCTTAAATTATTGTCGCCAATACGAATCTCACATTTGATTAGCTAGATGATCCTTAAAATTAACCATGTAATTACGTTGTTGCCGACCACCTATTTTAGATGTTTCTGCTTCTTGTGCATCCAAAGTGGATGTTTGCAGCTCATTCTTTGACTCCTCATATATTAGTTCTACATAAAAATTCTCAATTGCAGCCGGTCATTTCGTATTATCATCCTTATCACACATCTAAAATAACACTTTCATCATTAAAATAAAGCACAATTTTAAAGTATATAGACACACACACACACACATGCAGGGGCTGAATCAGCCCCAATGGGGGGCCTCCCAGGGGCTAATTCAGCCCCAATATCAGCCTCCCAGGGGTAGATTCAGCCCCAGTGGAGGCCTCCCAATGGCTGATATAGCCCCAATATCAGCCTCCAGGGGCTGAATCAGCCCTAATGGGAGGCTCCCAGGGGCTGATACAGCCCCAATGTGAGCCCCCCAGGGGCTGAATCAGCCCTAATGGGGCCTCCCAGGGGCTGATACAACCCCAATATCAGCCTCCAGGGGCTGAATCAGCCCCAATGGGAGGCTCCCAAGGGCTGATACAGCCCCAATGTGAGGCCCCCAAGGGCTGAATCAGCCCTAATGGGGCCTCCCAGGGGTAGATACAGCCCCAATGTGAGGCCCCCAGGGGCTGAATCAGCCCCAATGGGAGGCTCCCAAGGGAAAAAAAACATGAAAAAAAAAATCATCAAATCAGATAAAAAACATATCAAAAAATTAAAAAAAATACTCAACCAAATCAAACGGAAAACATATCAATCGATTTGGTTGAGTATATCAAATCAAAAACATATAAAAAAAGCCATAAAAACAAAAACAAAACAAATCAGAAAAAATGCTCAACCAAATCAAACGGAAAACCATCAAACGTTTTTGTCTAAGGGCATACCTCGGTGAGAAAAGAGCGAGACGAGAACGGGGCAGATCGAGCAAGAAGACACCGGAGGAGCTCAGGCGAGAACATAACGGAGGAGCTCGGGTGAGAAGCAAACGGCGCAAGTCAGGCGAGAAGGAAACTGGAGAAAACGAATCGGGCGAGAAGAACGGAGGAGCTCGGCCGGGAAGAAGGGCTGAAGAAACTGGGCTGAAGAAGGGCAGAAAAAATCTGAAGAAAGAAGAGAGAACGGGAGGCTGAAGAAAGAAAAGCAAAACGAAAACGAAAACGAGAAAATGAAAACAGCTTTTTTGCGTTTTCAGAATTTCACAAAACGACAAAAACGGTTTTGTTTTTTTTTTTAAAAAAACTTTCACCAAACGCGTTTTCAATTTTTTGCTTCAAAAAACGTGAAAAATGAGATTGAAAACGGTAACAAACAGGGCCATTGTTTTCCGATGAAAAATAGACACAAGAAAATAGCAAACCTATAAAAAAAAAAAAAAAAAAAAAAAAAAAAAAAAAAAAAAAAAAGTCCTGTTGAAGATCAACAGCGTATTTGGGAAAAATTTTCTGGGTTTTTGGTTGCTGGACGTGAAAAATAACTGGAAGATGGGAAGGGGTTTCTCAAGTCTTGAAATTCTACCATATTAAATGCTTATGTTTCAATTTTTAGTTTGGATTAGTAGGAAATGGTGGAAAACTAAGTAGATAGTTTCTCGAAAATTTTGTATATCTTAGGGTTTGAGTTTTATATTTTTGGCTGATAATACTGGTTGCTACTTTGAGTTGGGTATGTGATTTTAAGTCAATTGATACTGAGACGAGGAACTCACGTCATTATTCAAAGCAGGAGTTGTTTCCTCTTTGTTGTTGCCTGGTACAAGTTACCAATGACTTGCATAGTTAACAAAATCCGGGTGACCGGCTAAGAACAGTAATGGTATACGTTGGAATACAATCAGAACCTAAAGCACTATCCAAGTCAAGCTGTCCACGAGATTATATCCAAGGATGAAAATATATATACGTAGAAATATCGATACTATAATTTTATGAAAATTTCAGAAAAAAATATTGATATCGGTGGAAATATTAAAAAAATTATGGAAATTGCGGCAGTTTACATTAAAACATATTTCTAATACTTGTGTTCAATAAACAAGTTTAACATAAAAAGAAAAAAAAAAAAACATATTAGATTTCAAGTTTAACATAAAAAGAAAAAAAAAACATATTAGATTTCTCAATATCAAAAGGAAGTTCTATAAGACTCAAACGTAGTTAAAATCTCATCTTGATTCAAACAATATTAATAATATGATATGTTATTTAAATAATGCTAAATATAATTATGAGCATGCCAAATATAAGTTTGTCAATTCATTCTCACTATATTTAAAAAGAAAAAAAATTAAACATTTAAAATTTTCTTGAATCGAAATTTCCTGAAATTTGAGTGTTGTGGGATTTTACCGACTACAAAGGACCTCCCTCAGTCCCTCATTTGCAGAAAAATTCCTACACCAGCAAGCATTGACTTGAAGAACAGATGCAGTGAGGTGAGAAGCTATTGAAACCATATTTTGGCTATCAGGGTCTTCATGGAGTATTTACTTGGCAACTTAAAAATAAAACTTTAAAAAGCGAAAGACATAGGACATTACAAATCTAGGGTTTCGGGACAAAGTGACATAACATAGTTCGGCTGGAATTATCAGCACTTACCTTTTCAGGATTTCTTAGAAGTTGTTTGGTTAGAAAATTCGTCTTTCAATTTGAATCATAATTCGTAATATTTGAATCATAATTCGTAATTTATTACAGTATTTTTTCTTATAAAAAATACACATAAATTAAAAATAATTCTAATCATATAATTTTAATCTATAAACCAAACGTCTCATTAATTTAATTTATGAACATTATCAACTCACGTCTTAAAAAAGTCAAAGTGGGTATTTAATTAAAGTTGTAAACGAGATGAATTTATCATTCCAAACTTCTTAAAAATACTAATTGCATGGTATAAATTTTAGTTCTAGTTACGGGAGTGGCATCGACAAACAATTTCATTAACATAGCACTAATGATAACGCACAACCATACTAAATAACAAATACTAACCCCGTTCACTTCACCGATTCAAGTTTAGAATTCGAGTTTTGCTATAATAAAAAACTCTCAGAAACAATCACATCTAACTTTTTTACTACAGTAAAAAACTCACATAAAATCACATCTCAACTCGAATTAAAAACTCGAATCAACAAATTAAACAGACTCGTTTTACTCACGAAGTTGGAACTTCTTTTCCATTGACAAGAAAAAAAAAAAAAAAGAAAAAAAAAATCTCGGTGCGAAAAGATGATATTTGAGCCGAAATGAGAAACAAATGAGGTTATGCAATTCATCAAAATATTGCAAACTCACCATCAAAATGTATAAACCAGAAAATAATCAAAGACCAATATGATGATACCTAATAATATTAAAACAAAAACCGAATCAAATGGCCTCAAAGCACAAGTCAACATAAGAGAATGAGAAATCCAGCATTTCCAACAAGATCCTAAATCACTCTTTTGAGAACACTAGAATTTAAGAACTTGATTTCGTCCCAAAACTAAGAAAACAAAAGCGCATATTGCAAATATAAATTGAAAAAAAAAGCTTTTCCTAGTAGCGGCCAATACCCCAAACTCTGATTACACCATCGGTGTATCCGCTAAACAAAGTGCTTCCATCAGCACTCCAGCTCAAGCTTGTACAGTAGATAACCTGCCATATCCATGATCAGAAACAAGATAAATATAATAATAATCCAGATTAAACAATTAACAAGAATAGTCCATTAATCCATAGGTTAATCATATAAAATGTAAATTGATTACACTGAGAGAATTTGGTTAAAATAACCAAGTGAAAAAGTAAAATTAGGAAAATGACTTTTTTAATTTTAATTTTATTTATTCTCCTCCCGTCGGTCTCCTTCCGCCGGAATCAATGGCAGCTCCTCCCACCGGTCTCCTTCCGCCGGAATCAATGGCAGCACTCCATTTCTCTCTCTTCTTTTCTTTCTCTCCCCCCAAAAGGCCGAGACCCACCTCACGAGAAGGTCGAGAACGTGGCCGCCGAGAATGGCCTTGGCGACGACGCCGGTGAGGTTCAGGGCTCTGAACGTGCCGTTGATCGCGCCGCTCACGATCGCGACGTCAAGGCTCGAGAAGGTCGAGAACGTGGCGGTTCAGATCGAGCTGAGCAGTGGATCCGTGGGTGGGGTGAAGTTCTGATTTTTTTTTCGTTTTTCTTTCTTCTCATAAAGTCATTTTGCAAATAAAAATTTTTGAAAAGTTATTTTACTAATAAAACTTTCCTATTGAGTTATTTTTACAAAGGCCTCTTACACTGACACATATCATCAAAACTATGGCCACATAAGCAAACACATGTACACATTAGGGGACAAAAATTATGCTAGCAGCAAAGGAAAATCAACATTTTAGTAAAAAAATCTAAAGATTAAGTACTTTTTGCTACAAATACATAGTAAACAACAAGATGGTGAAACTACTAGCAGCGACCGAAACAAGGTAACACATATCATCCAGTAAATAGAATCGACACACCTTTTAAGAATCATTCCTTAAAGCAAAAAATAAAAAAGATAAACAAGATTTACGTAGGCATTGATTGAAAAGGTTTATCTTTCCTGGATTTCGCTTAAGAAAATGGAAAATACAAAATCTACCACACATTGCAGGGTAACAAAAAATGATTCTTTTTGTAGTTTTGAACAAGAAAAAGGATCATAAACATTTCTCAGCTCTCCCCTATCAACAGGACGGTCCCAATTAACACAATAAATTAGAGCAATCAATCGCAAGAAAGCTCTTTGCCTAAACATAAATATCCTGTAATCAACAAGACAATAACCAATCTGAAAACAAGGTAAAAATTTATTTTGTATTTCATCAGTAAAACATAAACATTACCAAGTAGCCTTCAATTGAAAATAAGGCAGAAATGACAATCACATTCACATACCACAAAATTCAAACAAGCAAACAATGCCAAATTCACAATCCCGAAAAAACAAAAACCAAACAACAAAATTCATTATATTATACATCATATATACCTTCTTCTTGTTGGCGGTGGCAGCATGGGTATCCTCGGTCTTTTCAGCCTCGGTCTTCAGATCAACCTTCAAATCCTCAACAATGCTCTTGCTCTCCAAATCCCAGATCTTGATACTGTTCTCAGTGGCAGCACAAAGCCAGTACCTGTTAGGGCTAAAGCACAAAGCATGAATAATAGCCCCAGCATCAAGAGAGTAAAGCCTCTTCCCCTCAGCCAAATCCCAGAGCAAAATCACTCCATCTTTCCCACCGCTGGCGCAGAGAGACCCATCAGGAGAAACAGCAACAGTGTTGACATATCCGCCATGGCCGCTAAGAGTGTTTCTCAGCTTGCAGTTGGAGAGATTCCAGACCTTGACGGTGCGGTCCCAGGAGGCGGAGACGATGGTCGGCTGGAGATTGCTAGGGCTGAAGCGGACGCAGCTGACCCAGTCAGAGTGAGCCTCGCCGCCGTCGCCGGAGATGGTGTACTTGCACTCCCCGAGAGTGTTCCAGAGCTTGATGGTGCGGTCGCGGGAGGCTGAGACGATCTGGCGATTGTCGATGGAGAAGGCGACAGAGAGGACGTCCTTGGTGTGGCCGACAAAGCGGCGGGCGGAGACGCCGGCTGCGAGATCCCAGAGACGGAGTTCACCGTCCCAGGAGCCGGAGAGGGCGAACTGGGAGTCGGAGGAGAGGACGACGTCCTCGACGAAGTGGGAGTGGCCAGTGAGGCGGCGGCGGGGGACGCCGTAGGCCTTGTCCTCCTTGGTGAGGTGCCAGAGGATGATCGACTTGTCGCGGGAGGCCGTCACGATTATGTCGGAGTTGTCGATCGGGGTTGCGATGGCCGTCACCATGTCGGTGTGGGCCCTCATGGTGCCGCGGAGAACCAGTCCCTCGCTCGCCATTGTTGAATGTTGATGGATGAAGATGTTTGTTTCTCTAAAGAAATGGAGAGAGAGAGATCGGCGATGGCTTTTTGAGAGACTAGGGTTTCGAGAGTTTAAGAAGGGGTTTATATATGACGGATATTCGATATATGAGAGAGAGAGAGAGAGAGAGAGAGAGAGAGAGTACTGATTAGGGTTTTGGTGGATTTTGCTAGCCCTAGGAATTGGGGGCCGTTTGGAAGTGGGAATTCGGTAATCGTACTCGGATTATGCATTGTAAGGATATATTTTAGAGAATGACCCAGCTGGCCCAATAGATGCACACTCGCATAGGACGATCTTAAATAGGCCCACTACAACTTCTGAAGCCCATTTATGCAGCAGTGCCACTTTGTAAGGGTGAATGAGACATATGGAATAAATAAGGGTATGTTTGGTTTATGAGTTTTAAGTTATAGTTTATGATATTGACGTTTGAAATTTAAATTTTTATAAAAGAAAAATATTGTAACAAAATTAAGAATCATAGTTTGAATCATGCAAAACCCTTAAAATAAATGCACCCTAAGATTGTTGAATTAAAATATGACTCGAGTTCGTGAATATTCTACATATGGCTTAATGTAGATGTATAGTGATATTGTAAATCTTAATAAGGATATTAAAGTTTATTTTATAGTTATATTATTTAATGATAATGATATATACGAGATGGTGTAGATATTATATTCCACAATTTGTGAGATTATTAATCGTTTTTAAACATTTTAAATACTAAAGAATGACATTAAATTATCATTATTTTGTATTGATCATTTAAATTGCTTTAAAATATTGACTGTATAATTATTAACTTAATAGCATTTAACTATTACATGTCATTAAAATATTGTTAACATAATTATGCAGTTGATGAGAATCTATTTTTATATAAATTAGAATTTCATTAAAATAATGACAATATAAGTATAAACACATTCGGACTAAATCATAATAGTTGATGTGAATTATGGGTCCGTTTGACATTACTTTTATAAGCTGCTTTTAACCTTTTTAAAGAAACTACATGAGGTCCGGGTGTTTGATAAATCTTATTTTTGTCTAACAACTTCTAAAAACTGTTGTCAAATAGCACAATTTGAGAAGCATGTCATAAGTTGCTTTTACATAGCTGTTTTTGTTGTCATTATCCAAATTTACTAAAAGAACCCAATAATAAAAGTAAATTCTCTATTTACCCATTTTATTTTTCATACCAAATTAAACAATGTTTTTAAATATTTATTTAAAAATTAAATATTTCGTAAATATATTATGTTAAATTTTACTCAAATATTTTTTATAATTATCAAAATGTGAAAAATAAAAAACAAATAATAAATTTAACAAGTTATTTTTTATAATTATTTTAAATAACAAATTAAAATCATATATTTTTCTTAGTATTTTGGTGTAAACATATTATGAATATTGACTTTAAAAATATAAATGAAAATTAACTATAATTATGCGTGCTAAATTATATATGTTTTAGTCATTATAGATCTCCACGGTAATTTTATACATGTTTACCAAACACCTAAATTTCTGTTACTAATATTTACAACAACTTTGAAAAAAAAAAAAAAAACATTATATGCTTTTAGTTACAGTAACTTATGACAAACAACACAATAACAATACAAATTTTCAACAATACAACAATGCATTACAATAATGACAATAAAAATTTTCAACAATACAACAATGCATTACAATAATGACAATAAAAATTTTCAACAATACAATAATGCATTATAATAATCACAATAAAAATTTTCAACAATACAACAATGCATTACAATAATGACAATAAAAATTTTCAACAATACAACAATGCATTACAATAATGACAATAAAAATTTTCAACAATACAACAATGCATTACAATAATGACAATATCATTAACATGTAAAATTAAGACACACACCAAAGGATGTGAGTTTTTCATTTATCTTAACCAATGTGGTATGTAAACCAAATAGCAGGGAATGTATAAACGAAACAATAACAAAAAAATAGTAAACTATATGCGATATAATGATTAACATGTTAAAAGTATTTTAAAATCTAGATGCGGATTATTTTGTTTATCAATTCAATTACGATAAAAATATGGGAGTTAATTAGGCACCAACAAAAACACAACAAGTGTTTAAGCTATAATCCGGCGCCCTGATTGAGATTTAATTTTGATCATTAAATTGTACCTTACCAACAGGGGGAAAGTACATCCCCTACTACATATTTTCTCATTTTTTTAAATAAATTTAATTTGATAACATGAAAAATATAAAATTTGTGACTTATATTAACAATGTAAAATATAAATAAAAAGACTAAGTAAATAAATTAGCACTCAAATTGTTTATACTAAATGCGATAGTACAGATTTTAGTGACGTTTTTACTAAATGAGTAACACGTGTGTCAACTCGAATATGACATAAAAATTGATACAAACATGACCCAAACTACCACCTTTAAGTGAGAATTTAGGGTTCGTTTAGTACGGGAGTTCAAACTAATGTGATTCTAGTTTTAATTTTGAAATTAGAATCATAATTTATGATTTTAGGTCCAAATTATTGTTCTCAAACCAGAATCAAAATAATAGGTTTGAACCGTCAAAAATCAAGAAGGTGGGTGATTTTAGAGTCATGAGTGATTTATGATTTAAAATATCACATTAGAATTCAAATCTTAAATTAAAATCATTTAAATCAAACATTAATTTTAAATGAATCAAATTAAAACTACTTTTTACTTTTTATAAATAAACACACATTTAAATCTAATTCCGATTTCAAAATCTTTATATCAAGAAACCACTTAGATCCTCTATCTCTTTCTCTATCCTCTTTTATGTCCACTCAATGAGAATATAACACATCAAAGGTTTCTGTTTGTTTCTCTTTCTTTGTTTTTCTCCGTTTGTGGAACTTGTAACAGCACACCTATTCGACAAAAAAAAAAAAAAATGAAATCATTTGAGCACGATCAAAAGCTAGAAAAAGACAAGGTAACAAAAGTACAAACAAATATATAATCAACTATGAAGAAAATACTAACGGTAGTAGCTGTATACCTCAATTAAAATTAATACCTGAAAGTTATTATTTATGTCAAAATTTTATTATATAAATAATAATTATAAATAATAAGTATTGTATAAATAGTAATTATGAATAGTGTTAAAAAAATTTTTAAGATTTTTTATTTTATATACTTTCACAAAATTAATAAAATTTTCTATAATTTTTCTCTCTCTAGAATGTTTCTTCTTAGTTTTCATAACACTAACAAAATTAAGAGCAATCACAATGTGTAAAAACAACACTAGAAAGCAATATGTCAAGCCACACAATATATGACTAGTAATAAATAAAGGTGGTAAGGTTAAAAAAAGTGCAAACACTATTTATTTCATCATTAGTCTACATTCATTGTCGATGAGTAAATTAAAACTCCAAATCTTTTACTATATTGATCAACTTTTCGCCTGATCACACCAAGTATAAATCAGTGAAAGTTTTTTAAGACTCATTACTACCCCGTTTATTTCACAAATTTGAGTTTTGTTACAGTAAAAAATTCTTAAAAACAGTCACATTTAACTTTTTGACTACAATAAAAAACTCTCATATCAAGTTAAGTTATATCTCAACTCAAATTAAAAATTAAATCAACGAATTAAACGGGTTCTAAAAATTAAACTAAAGATCTAGATCTCGTATTGCCACTCCCAATTGGTATTGCCTCAAACCCGCCCAGACCCGTACTGTAACGCACCGTTTCCGAAGATTCTTCTTTAAACCCTCAAGAATCCTGAGATAAACGAAAACGAAAACGAACTCGCCCTCTCTCTGGGTACTTAATACCTCTCTTAAATCCATTGTAACCCCATAAAGAACCCTTTATTTTATTGTGGGCGAGTTCTCCCAAGACCTTCTTCCCACTCTTCGCAATAACCACTTATCCTCTCAGTTATCTGTTTCTACTTTTCTTCCTTTTTGTTCCTGTTTCCTTTTTGTATTTTGCCTCAATTTACTGTTTCATTTTGAAGCTATTATATCTTTTCGTCATTTTCTTTTTGTTTGTTTTCATTTGTTCCCCAAAATCGTAATGGATTTGTAGCAATGGATTGTTGGATTTCATAGCAGCAAAATGCTCAAATTAAGGTCAGTATTATTTTTTTTCCCTTTTATTTTGATTTGGATCTTTGTCCAATAGCTCAATTCTGGCTTTCGTTGCCATTTCGCAATCTGGGTACTTTTTATTTTCCCGTTTAGTTTCTTTTCTGTTGATATTTTTGCATTTGGTAACTTTAAAGTATGGATTTGGAAATAACTTTTTCTGTAGTCTTATTGGTTCTCTCTTTTTGGGGTTAAGTTTGCATTGTCTAATGACGGAAATTCTGACCATTGTGAAAATAGTGATTTTTGGAGGAAGCATAAAAGGAAGGTTCTTGTTGGAGCTGGTCTTATAGGAAGTGGATATGTTCTGTATAAGTTATACAACGCTCATAGACAAAGGCTTGATGATCTGGAGAGAGAACTTGCAAGTGAAAGAAGAAAAGTTGATGAACTTGTCAAGGACCAGTAATGAGAATCCTTAATCTCACATTTTGGTTTCTTGTGTTTTCATTGCTGTTTTATAATCCACATTCTTAATTAGTTACTACTTGGGTTCTGATGATTGTGTGTTTTTATTATTTTGGTAGAATGCAAGCCCATTTTGAAAACATACAGAGAATAGCTGATACGACTACATTGCCACACGCAATGCAATACTTAAGCAATCGGATAGAAGAAGAGTTGGATCTTTCTCACCTAACGGACAGGCTTATGAAAGGGAAGGGTCAGCCGAATACTTTGATGTCTTCGGAGAAACACGAGCTGTGGGATAGACTTAAGATTCTAAGTATGAATCTATTTTTCCTTTGCGTTATACACTTCATTCATGTTTTGTTTAACAGATAATAGCTTATCATGTCTGGGTATCTTCTTTCTCCAGGTTTCACAAGAATGGTGTTGTCATTGTGGACAATGACAATACTTAGCCTGTATATCAGAGTTCAAGTCAACATACTAGGAAGACATTTATATATTGATACTGCACGTCATCTCCTTTTACCAGTAAGTGACTTCCAATGATCCTGCTTCTGATAGAATCATCTTGATTTTAGCTCCAATACCACTTTTGGAATCAAATGTGGACATCCTTTTGAATTTTCTTTATTGCAATGTCACCATACCATCCTCTTATTTTGTTACATAACTGGAAACTTGTTTTCTATCTTTTTTGGTTTTGGGAAAGTCAATAAATATATAATTATTGACAACTTTGAATTTTCTTTATTGCAATGTCACCATACCATGCTCTTATTTTGTTACATAAGTGGAAACTTGTTCTCTATCTTTTTTGGTTCTGGGGAAGTCAATAAATATATAATGAAACAGTGGATTTTTTAACTTTTACTTGCAAGTCGCCAATACGGATTGCTCAAAAGTTTTTTTGATGAGGTGGTACTGCCAGATTGCCATTGGTAGTAAGCAAGTCCAGAGTGTCTCAGTATGCAGATTAGTGCTTAGGCTACTCCTGTGACATTGCTCAAAAGTTGTTTTCTTGAGGTGGTACTGCTGGGTTTCCGTTGATAGTAAGCAAGTCCAGAGTGTCTCATTTTGCAGATTACTTGTCACATCTGCTATGTGCTTGAGCAATCATATTAGTCTTTTTAAGTTTCCATGGTAAATTAGCGTAATATGAGGAGTGAATTATGAATATCCTTATCCAGTTATGGTAATAACTATATATATGGGAATACATACATATCTTCATCAAAGAATAGGTACTTTAAGGGGTTAATGTTGGCGATAAGAATCATAAGATGTAGATTGAGTGGCTCAATCTAGTTATGTACTTTTGTTAATGGATGTGGAAAGAGTGTTCTGGACCGCTATTTGCTTGAACTTGACTGGAATATACATGTTTGAACTTTGAAGTCTAGAGATCTAACTTTCATTTGCATCTATGTTAGGACGGGTTAGGTTCTAATTGCTTTTTTCTTGTTCTTAAAGGAACAGAAAGTTCGCTTGAGTTCTAAGTTCTACCCAATGTAGTCCAGACTTCATGAAGAGCTTTACCCCATTTAACACCCTATAACTGAACTCTTCTATAATAGGTAACTAGGCTTACCTGTAACAATGGGGTTTACTGTAAGGTTTTGGATGGTTACCTAAAGCTGGTCTGTTAAGTTTCTGTCCTAGTGCTATGATCACTTTATTTTAGTTGTTTCTTTAGTCGTCAGAAATTTTGTATTTGCCATCCAACCATCTCTAACTTCTTCCAACAGGTTTTGGCTAACTTGAATTTTCTTGAAAAGTTGCCTTACCAGTTACTATAATAAAGGCTGAATGTTGTTGCCACGATTGATTGCTGTTGATTAGTTTGGGTAACATTTCTAATATTCTTCAATTATTGTGTATTGGTGGTTAAAAAACGTAATATTATTTTTGTTTTCCATTAAAGGAAGTTGTAACATTAGTTTTCTTGAAGAGATTACAGTAAAAAAATTTATAAAATTCAATTTTCTTCTTATAAGAACTATGGGTACTTGAAGCTAGCAGTGATGGACTAAAAATAAACTTTTTGAAACATAAGCATGTGATACGTATTTTTTCTATTAGTGATTAGTTGAAGCATTTTGGGCTACCTATGCTGGTACTTTATTGTTTTGTTTTCTTGTGATATGAGCAACTGTTAACTGAATCTGAGCCTTTTCTCTCATCACAAACGAGCTTGTTGTTCTACTATTTACCCCATATCATTAAGGATTGTTAACCCACTACTCTCCCATTGCTGCTGAATCTTACTTGTCTTTAATACTCTTCGAATGGAATCATGGCATTCTACAGATTGCTCATTTCATTACCGGGTAGGGACAAAAGAGCATTGCTATTGGACGACCATTTACTTGAAGGATTGGAATCCTTCATTCCATTTCATCTTATCCCACAAACAAGAACTTTCCTATATTTATGAATAAATATAGGATAATTGTTGTCTAACAAAATGTATATTTACTGTCATATTACAAAATGCATCAACTGTATCAATCATATTATAATAATGTTAGAACGACTGAAATTATATTCTTATGTACATGTACATTTTGTTAGACAATAACTATCCTATATTTATGAATTCTTTAAAGAGAAAAGATGATGGATTTCTATTTGCTGACTAGATATTACCTTTTGCTCCTTTTAGACTGTTATTCATGCTGAAAGTTCTTGCAGAAGGATCCCAAAAGCTTTGCATTTTGGTATTTTCTTTTAATACTGAGGGTTTTTCATTATACAATTATTTGCTTTATGTGTACTGTTGTTTGCTTAATGACTAGGGTTTGTTCCCATTAGATACGTGGAATAGCTCTTTCAAGCTTTCTATACAAGATAACTTCCAGCTTTTCCCATTTTCTGTAGTTATATAGCACTAGCTGTGAAGCTTGTGAAAACTTTCGTTAGTTATACTTCTGTTGGTTTCGATGGGGGAGTTGGGATGACACTGACATAAGTTGTTAGCGTTAGGATGAATGTAGTTCAGGCTAATAATTTTCGGTATTGTTTAGTCATATAAGTACAACAGCTCCCTGACAGACTCAGCAATGAGTGATCACTGCTTTAAAAGAGCGAAGTGATTCTCTTCGTTAGTAGTCTAACGCCAAATTTTCTTAACAGAATTTGGCTTAATTGGAAATTACTGCTCGAAACATCTCTTCTGCTTTTTGTATAGTTTGTTCTTGTTTGGGGCCTTAAAGTCCAACGTCAAATGGGCATCCAAATTAATGCTATTTCCAAGTTTGATGTTCTAGTATTTATTGCAAAGTTTTAGATGTGCTGAATTCTGTTTTTTCGTGCTATTCATGATAATTCCCAGTCCAGAAAATTGGTTGGTTGTGTAGTTGACGAGCTGGCCATTGGGACCCAATGTATGTTGACAAAAGATGTAGCTAGTTGGAGTGTCTGTGTGTGTGTGTGTTAGGTTCCTGCCAAACCCAGTAACTCAACCGAAGAAAAACAAGCTTAATTCAAATGAAATGGTTCGGATTCCTTTTATTAAAACCAGCCGATCAAACCACCGAGGGCAATTTCCTTCCCTCAGAAAATTACAAGACGGAAATGGAAGAACAAGAAAAAAAAGATAACAATGGGGAATTCGAGGTTCCCAGCCTCCAATGGTCTGTAACAGAAAATGACTCAATTTCCAGACCCCTCTCTCATCCCTCCTCTGGAGTCTAAATACACCCCACTAACATCTCGTAACTAACTTGACACATCAGCACTCATTTCCCCTATTTCCACATCCCTCCCCTGTTTCCAGCGATTTCCCCCTACGGCCCCTCTTCCTAGCGTAGGTTGAAAGAGGGAAACTGGGAGCGGATGGCAGCAACGGGGGGCTCCCAAGTGGATTCCCAGTCCGGTAGGCCCTGCCACTTAATCAGCACCTCTGGTTCCTCGCGACCTCCTAGCATCACCACCCGAGAGGCCAACACGTCGGCCGGACGGACACAGAGCTCCAGATCATCTGTCAACTGAGCGGGGAGAGGTTGGGCCTTGGCCACAGCCCCCGTAAAGGGCTTCAGTTGAGACACGTGGAAGACCGGGTGTAAGTGAGTATTGTCAGGCAGCCTCAAACGATACGCCACTGGTCCAATGTGTTCCACCACTTCGAAGGGCCCATAGAAGCGCGGGCTGAATTTCTCATTGACGCGGCGAGCCAAGGATTTCAGCTTGTAGGGACGCAGCTTGAGCAGGACCAACGCACCTATCTCAAAACTTAATTCTCTCTGATGATTATCGGCGAATTTCTTCATGCGTTGCTAGGCCAATAGCAGGTGAGATTTTAGCAGATCAAGCGTGGCATTATGCAAGGTAATCTGTTCCTCCACGGCTGCCACCGCGCTAGGGGAGTCCTGGAAACGGTAGAGAGCCGGGGGATCTTGACCATATACAATGCGGAAGGGGGTGAACTTGGTGGAAGCATTAAATGTCGTGTTAAACCAATATTCCGCCCACGGCAGGAAGGAGGACCACTGCCAGGGCTTATCTCCTGCAAAACAGCGCAAATATGTTGCAACGGTTTACTACCTCTGTTTGCCCATCCGATTCTGGGTGGTAGGCCGAACTCGTGTGCAACTTGGTGCCTTGTAACTTGAACATCTCTTGCCAAAAACTGCTCATGAACACGGCGTCCTTATCACTCACAATGGACCGCAGAATTCCATGGAGCCTGACAATAGCGGAAATGAATAAGGCAACCACTTGCTTGGCTGAGAACGGATGGGCCAAGGGGCAAAAATGAGCATATTTTGACAAGCGGTCCACCACTACCAAAATGGTGTCGAACCCTCCAGACTTGGGCAGGCCCCCAACAAAATCCATGGAAACGTCGTCCCAAATTTGGGTGGGGATCGGTAGGGGCTGCAGGAGGCCAGCCGGGGACAGTGCCTCTGTCTTGTTTCTTTGACATATCTCACAATTAGCCACATACTCCCGGATGTAGCGCTTCATACCATGCCAAAAAAACCACCGCGGATAGTCGCTTGTAAGTGCGGACAAAACCCGAATGCCCACCAATGACCGAGTCATGAAACTCGTGGACCAGCCGAGCTATCCAAGGTGAGTTCTCCACCAAAACTAGCCTATCTTTGTAAAACAGCAATCCGTTCTTCAGCGCATACCCCTCCTCAACCTCTCCTTTCTCCAGTTTTGATATGATGGCCACCCAACCTGGTTCCGTTCGCTGCTCCAATTGGATAGTTGCAAAGTCCCACGTGCGTGGTATTGTGAACACAGTGAGGGTAGCCTCAGCCCAGTCACCCCTGCGGGACAGTGCATCAGCGACGCGGTTGGAGGCCCCCAACTTGTACTGTACCTCTAGATCATAACCCAAAAGTTTATACACCCAGCGAAGCTGTTCAGGAGGGAGTTGGCGCTGATTCATCAGGAACTGCAAGCTTTGTTGGTCAGTGCGGACCACAAAGTGGCGTCCCAAAAGATAATGGTGCCATTTCTGAACCGCCAGGACCACCCCCATGAGTTCTCTCTCATATACCGACTTCAATCGGGAAGGAGGGGCTAGAGCTTTACTGAAAAACGCTATGGGCTTGTCCTCTTGCATCAGCACTACCCCTAACCCACTGCCCGAAGCATCAGTCTCGACAATGAACTGCTTTGAAAAGTCAGGCATGGCCAGAACAGGAATCCGAGTCATAGCTAGCTTGTGCTTGTTGAATGCTCGCCCTGCTTCCTCTGTCTAGAGAAATCCCTTCTTCTTGAGCAGCTCCGTTAGTGGTCGTGCGATCATCCCATAGCCCTGGACAAACCGCCTGTAGTAACCGGTGAGCCCCAAAAATCCTCGCACCTCTCGAGCGTTGCTCAAAGGGGGCCAAGAGGTAATGGCCTGAATCTTGGAAGGGTCGGCAGCCACTCCACGACCTGAAACGATGTGGCCCAGGTATTCTAGTTGGGGCTGGCCGAAACAACATTTTTTTTATTGGCAAATAACCGTTCGCGCTGCAAAACTTGAAGGACCTCGGCCAGGTGTTGACGGTGTTCCTCCCTTGAATGGTTGTACACCAAGATGTCGTCAAAGAACACCAGAACGAACTTTCGAAGGTATTGACGGAAGACCCTATTCATAAGGGCTTGGAAAGTGGCTGGGGCGTTTGTCAAGCCGAAAGGCATGACGAGAAACTCGTAGTGGCCCTCATGTGTTCGAAAGGCCGTTTTCTCAATGTCGGCCTCATGCACCCTGATTTGGTGGTACCCTGCTCGCAAGTCTAATTTTGAAAATACGACTTCCCTATTGAGTTCATCGAGCAATTCGTTGATCATGGGAATCGGAAACTTGTCGGGGATCGTAACTTGGTTCAGCGCGCGATAGTCTACACAGAAGTGCCAGCTTCCGTCTTTCTTTTTGACTAAGAGGACCGGGCTGGAGTAAGGGCTGCTACTAGGCCGTATGATACCGGAAGCCAACATGTCTGTCACCAACCATTCTATCTCCCCCTTCTGAATTTGTGGGAATCGGTAGGGCCGAATATTGGGCGGATCGGTGCCCTCCCTCAGAATGATCCTGTGGTCCCGTCCCCGGTGTGGTGGCAATCAAACACCTCCTCGAAACTGTCCACCACCATCCGCACCTCCTCCGGAACCGCTTTGAGCTCCTCCTCTAGCCGCTGCATCGAGAGTTCACAAACTTCAACCAATACCCCTGTTCTGGCCGGTGACAGAGTCTTGACTAAGGAACTCATCTTGGCCGGTGCATAACACAGGCTTGGGTCTCCACGCCAAACCACCCAAGTTGGCCCTGCTCGGAATTTCATTAAGAATTTAGACCAATAAGCCCGTACCTCACCGAGGGGGCTGAGCCACGTCACCCCTAAGACCAAATCAGCCCCGCCCAACTAGAAGGAAAAAAAGTCCTCCACCAGCAAGTGACCTTGGATCCATACACTAACCCCCCGACAAATTCCTGATTGTTTAACGCTCAACCCATTGCCTACTATAATATTGTGGCTTACCGTGTAGTCCACTGGCAAGTGCAGCTCTCGTACCACCGTTTCCGAGATGAAGCTGTGGGTGGCGCCGCTGTCCACCAGCACAACGACCTCCCGGCCTCCAATCCATCCCCGGAGCTTCATAGTGTTGGAGGAGGACACCCCCCGCATCGAATTCAAAGACAGATCCACCTTTGCGTTCGAGATCTCCTTTCCTTTGTCCTCCACCGCTAACGACTCCTGGCCATCCTCACTGTCCTCCCCCGAGTCGTCTCCTTCGTCTGCCATAATAAGAACCTGCAACTGCCGGTTCTTGCATCGGTGTCCCGGACTGAACTTCTCGTCACATTTGAAGCAGAGCCCTCGAGCTCTCCTCTGCTGGATCTCTTCCTCAGTGAGCCACCTGTACGATGCCGCCTCACCAGAAGGGGGATTCGTCCCTAAACCACTACCCAACCGAGCTCCCTGCCCTAGCACCGCCTCATGCTGAGGTTTGGATCGAAGGGGGCCTTTTGGTGGGTAGGAACCCGTGTTGTGGACTTCGGAGGACCCCCCAAAGCGTCCTACAAACTCGGATCTGGGCCCACGGCCCAATCTATTCCTTTGGACCCGATTCGCTGCTTCATTGCGGGCCTCCACCTGCTGGGCCAGATCCATCATCTCGTGCAACTCATTGGGCCGATGCATTTTTAGTTCAGCCCAAATATCCTCCCGGAGCCCATGAAGGAAGGCCCCTTTGAATATTGCTTCAGGGACTCCCTACATCTGCGGCGCCGTTGATTCGAACTCGTCCCGATATAACGCTACCACCGCTCGCTGCTTGAGAGCCATCAGTTGCTCCACTGGGTCGACTTCCCTGGCGCAACCGAAACGTCTCAGCACAGCTGCGCGAAGTTCGTGCCAAGATCTGAACGGATCTTGCGCGTCTGCCCATTGGAACCATCCCAAAGCTCGCCCCTCCATGCATACCGAAGCCACCACCACCCTCTCTTTCTCCTCCACGTCATTCACAACAAAGTACCGGTCCCGCCCTAAACACCCATCCCTGGGGGTCCTCTCCCTGGAATATTGGCATCTCCAGCCTCCTTCTGCGGTGTTCAGCACGTCCTCTCGGTAGCGGTGGCATCTCTTGCCGAACGTTCTACCCCGGCCGACGAAGGTCGGGGAATCGCTGTTGCCCCGCGTCGAACCGAGGTTGAGGGTGTGGGGGTCGCTGGAGAAGGTCCGCTTGCCAGAGCAGAAGATTCTCCAGCCGCCGTATCGATCCCTGTACCTGCCCCATCTGGACGCCCATCTCCACCACGTTTTCCTGTAGTTTCGGAAGAGGCTCAGTCAAAGCCTCCACAATCTACAACGCCTCGTAGAATGTATCCACTCGCTGTTCGAGGCGAGATATCACCTCCTCTGGTGGAGGAACACCGGCAGCTTCCGCCATGGATCGACCTTGCTCTGATACCAAAATGTTAGGTTCCTGCCAAACCCAGTAACTCAACCGAAGAAAAGCAAGCTTAATTCAAATGAAATGGTTCGGATTCCTTTTATTAAAACCAGCCGATCAAACCACCGAGGGCAATTTCCTTCCCTCAGAGAATTACAAGACGGAAATGGAAGAACAAGAAAAAAAAGATAACAATGGGGAATTCGAGGTTCCCAGCCTCTAATGATCTGTAACAGAAAATGACTCAATTTCCAGACCCCTCGCTCATCCCTCCTCTGGAGTCTAAATACCCCACTAACATCTCGTAACTAACTTGACACATCAGCACTCATTTCCCCTATTTCCAGCGATTTCCCCCTACGGCCCCTCTTCCTAGCGCAGACCAACGTAATAGGGGGCCTAACAGTGTGTTCATCGAGGACCAAAAATTACTTTTGCCGAGGAGATGTTAAATGGAGAACTATTTATTTAAGGCTATGTATTTTGTGTCTGTCGGACCTATATTAAGTTTTAGAAACAGTTGCAACATTCGTCGCAGCTGCTCTCATCAATATCTTGAGTCATGCTTGTTGTAAAAGTATTTTTACTTCTATACACTCTTCGTTCTCCGATATTTCTACTCCTCCCCACCAAAAGAAGGGAAAAAAACTGTTGGAGTTTTCATATTTGTGCATGTTGTGTCTTCTCTTTTTACTAGCTCTTTAGAGCATCTCTAATGCAATGTTATAATTGTTGTGCTAATTGCAAATTTAACATTTGAGTGTAAAAAACACTCTCTAGTGCAATGCTATTTGTTGTGTCAAATTTTCCATATGCTATATTTTGTGGCAAATTTCCCACCAAGTATAGTATATGGGAAATTTGGCATTTGATTGCTATTGGTTGAAATGTTTACTTTTTCATGTAATCATTACAACTTTTGTATTTTCTAATTATTTTAAACATAAAAGTTTACTTTTACAACTTTCAAAGCTTAATAATTATGGGAAAAAGTAAATTTAGCATTTCAAATAGCATTTTGCATTGGAGCAAAAATGAAAATAACATACCATATCACACTTTTTGATGTTAAATATACAACTGGCATTAGCATTTGCATTGGAGATGTTCTTAGCCTCTTTGTTAATGAGACATAGCATGGGAAACACATTATGTGCTGTACACCAAACTTAGCATGTGAAACAATGCAAGCAAAATGTATTCTACAGGATTTAAATTAGTGTGTGAAAATGATGTGACATTGGAGTTCGTTGATCATTCCTTTAACTCTACTACGAAGTTAATGCTTATAGTCAAAAAGTATATTTGGGCGCCGCCCCGCACATTTGGTTCCGATTTCCTCCTTCCTTGGCTGGTGGCCCTGCCCACCCACAAAACACAAGGCCTTTTTTTTTTCTTATATGTTATGTATTCTGTTTTACTTTTTCATTCCTTTATGGTTAAAGGAAAAAAAAAAAAAAAAAAAAAAAAAAAAAAAAAAAAAAAAAAAGAAAGAAAAGAAAAAAAAACTCTATATGACCTTCAAATCTCTTTAGTCTCCACTGATCTAGTTTCTGTACATTATTGCTTATCTTCACTACGAGTCCGATTAGTTATGATGCTTCGTATTATCTTTTAAATAGTAGCTTGATCCTGATGTGTGATCCTGATGTGTTATTTCTCTGAATAAACTCCTTGTTCCTATGTTTACAGGATGATGGTGATCTCATTGACAGGGATGACCAGCAGAGATTTCTGGCAAGTGCTGATTTTCTTTCTACGTATGCCTTGCCTGCCTTGATTTCAAATATGCAGGCAGCGGTAACAGAAGTTCTTAAAGGGTAAGGTTGTTCCCACGATATTGCAGTTATAGATTTGTGGCGGGCATGTGAATGATTGTCTTAGTTTTGTCTAATTTCGAAACTTTCTCCCTCTGTAGAAGTAAAATGCTTCAAGTTCAATGATAGAAGTAGAGTCAATAGGTCAACTTTACTTAACTATCAATGTTTCTGGATCCAACAATACCTCCTTTAGAGCTATTTTACATCAAAGGCAAGGAACTTTATGGCTAAAGCACATCAGAGTAGATGTAAACCAATTCTGAAAAATAACTAAAAGAATTATCCCAAATAGTACTTGCTCTCAGCAACTGTGTGATTAAAAGAATGGAATATTTTACTTTGTTTACCTTGGTAGCTTTTGAGCTAACTAGAATGTTAAGGGCACCTTGTATGATAATCAATTTATTCATGGTCTTACATGGTCTTTGCTTGATTTCATGTACAGAAAGCAGTTGAGGGATTTCATAAACACTACAGTTCTTCATGAAACTATCATCCAAATACTTAACACCTTTATGAGCATAAGAAGTCCCCATCTTTGGGTGGGCTACTTGATGCCCGAGGATGCTCGTTTACATGAACTAGCCACCGCCTCCAGTAGTGATGACAAAGGTCTTTCAGATGTCACCAAATTTGATCAACTTATGGTGGAGACAAGGGCAGTGATATCGAGGTATGTTTATCAAGTTGCAAGTTCTGACTTGCGAACTTAGTATTAGGGAAATGTTTAGTTGCACAACTTCTTATCACGGAATTATTAGTGCAACAATTTTTTTCCCCGGAATCCTTTTTAACTTGAATATTTGCTATTATGCACTATTACATGGTTATGTGCCGTATTCCACCCTTCTGGTTCCCGCAATTACTTCTTCAAATTAATGCTGAAAAATCAACGAGTAATATTCAGTGAATGGGGTCATATGATCTCTTAAATAAGTCACAAGGTGTTTTAGAAAGCACGTTTTTTGATAGTAGAGGAAAAAGGGTCATGATGACATCGAGCCTATTTTATTTGTTCATCTCTTTCTTCATTGAAAGAAAAAGGAAAAGGGAAAATGAAGTTTTGAACGTAACTTGCTATTGTGACATTTGCATCTTGTTCTTTTTAATCATTCTTATAAAGTCTACACTAGCCTTATTATGTATCCCCAATAAGTAAACCATTTGTTTACTAATTACTTTTATGCTTAATCAGTAAAAACTGGTTAATTTTTTTGCTCTCTCATCCCTCACCAATTCTCTCTCTAACTTTGCTAGTGACTGTTCGCCAGTGCAACTATTTTGGTGCATCGCTCAATTAGTAAACCAATTGTTTACTTTTTATCTAATAAGTAAACGTATAGTTAACTTTAATTTTTTCCATCTCCAACTTTGTTTCCAAATAATTCTACTTAACTTTATTTTTAATTAGTAAACCTGTAGTTTATTTACTTGTTTACTTCGTGTCTAAAGAGTACTCCAATGTTTCACTTTCTTTCGACTTCCTCTCTAACCCTTCCTCTCCTTCTCTCACATTCTTTCTTCTCTCCACCTGTCTATCTCTCATTACATCGGTGGTGAGGCTGGAAGAGTCCTCTGATCTGCATGCGAATCCATTGTTGGATCTTGTGTCGTGGCGTCCTTGGCTATATGAGCTTTCAAGGCTGCTACACATTGGCCTCGTGATGCCGGAGTCTCGCAATCTTACCTCGCAGTTGCAACAGCCTCAACCATGCAATTTCACGAGGTCGTCCCCTTCTAGACTTTCTTGTCTCGTCGATGCTTGTGTCATCTTCTCTGCCTCAGTGGTGTCTTCGGGGCTAAGAATAAATGGAAGTTTGTATTTCTTGAGTATAGTTTGGTAAAAAGATACGAGATTCTTATGGTAGAGTGTGAAAAACTATCCTGTTGGTAGGGCTCTGCTTTGATCGGTGAGATCTCTATAAGGTTATGTTAGTTTTGTATACTTTTTTGTTTTGATGTGATTGGAATCAAATATAACGTTCAGAAACAGGAACTTTAAATTTTCATTAATATCAAAGTCTTCTAAAGCAAATATAATAAAAACTAAATGTGTTTATTCATCTTGCAGTGCCAAATTTGTAAATGTTGCTGAGATAGCATTGAAAGCGGTGGTAAACACATTGGTCAAAGAAATAGGAATCCAATGTGGAGGAGACACTCTGGCAAACGGGATGCCACTTGCCAGGTTGTTGGCACGTGTCACTCATGTGGGTCCCATTCTTCTTGTAGAGCCAAGCAAAAACCAATTCATCCAAACAATTCGGAACGAAAAAGAAGTGGAAATGCTCATCACTCTCATCTACACAGACGCCAATGTCATGGATTAACAAAGTGAGTTTATGTTTTTCTATTTCAAAGTTACAAAACGTTCTTGTAGGCTTACAAGGGAATGAAGGCACCAAAGCAAATATGTAAAGAATGTGATTTGCTTTAGATTTGGCGTTTTCCAAAATTATTCAACAAATGGAAAGAGACAATAGAAAGTTTAGGATCACTGTAGTGTAATTTAAATTTACCCCTTTTTAGTACTTGCTCTTCACAAGCTTTTCTTATTTTTATTTTTTATTTTTATTTTTCACTGTAGTTTCTATGTTTGATTATGATTTCACCCTGGGTAATGATTTTACCCTGGCTTATCAAATATGAATAATAAGATGATGGACATGATTCATTACAGTGTGTTTGGTTGATATGTTTCTCTGTGTTTTTGTTTGTGTATTATTATTATGGCGATGCACAATCCGTTAAGAAAAAACAAATTCAAAAGTATGCACATGATTCATGACACTATGGAGGAATAAAAGTCATCTCCGCTGAAATGTTAATCTGTCAGGATTTTTATTTGGTATTGAGGTGCTAGAGGCACTATTTTAAGTCCAACTTCGACTTGGCATGAATCACTTTACTCCGAGAAAAAGTTTAGTCTCAGTCGTTCTTATATATTGATGGGATATGTGTAAAATTATCCATTTTTGAGCTGTTTTTTAAGTAAATGGCAGAAGTTTAGGCATCGTTCATTTCATCAATTTAAATTTTTAATTTTAGATTTTTACAGTTAAAAACTCTTAGAAAATATCATATCTAATTTTTTTTATTATAGTTAAAAATTTTCAGAAAATGTCATATCTCAACTCGAATTAAAAATTTAAATCCGTGAAATTAACAGGGTCTTAATAAAGTCTAACAAGTATCCGTGTATCATTTATAAACCATTATAAATTAATGATACATCGGTTTATCATTAATTGGCTGGTGGTGTATCATTGATTAAAGTCAACGATTAGCCAATATCAATTAATAATAAACTAATTTTAATTAATAATTAGTAATAATTTTTTAGAAAATTAATGATATACCGGTTTATCAATAATAAACTATGGTGCATTAGTGATTGACTATCGTAAAAAAAAAAAAAAAAAAAGCATTCCTTAAAAAGGTATATTCCTAAAAAAGTTAAACTATGGTCATTAATTTAAAAGAAGTGGTCAAAATTATTCATCAACGAAATTTTCTCTAATCTTTTTAAGGAGTCCCTAATAAATTTATTTCCTCCTCATGCAATCCTTTTTACTACTATGTTCTCGTGTACCTCCTATTATATTTAATATCCACTTTCCCACTAAAATCCTAATTTCTCAAATATGTTCTACTTGTCCACCCAAATTTATAGAGTTTGAGAAAAGATGAGAAAAAAGTTGAGAGGTAATATTTAGACTTTAACGGATTAGTCTTTCATTTAAAAGGTCAACAAATTAAGTAGAATAATTTAATATCCTTACATGCATGTAGTTCTATTTATATTTAGATGATGGACTAGAGTATTTTACCATATATATATATATATAATATTCAACATAAATGGGAGGTTTGATTAAAAGGTGCATTTCGAGCCATTTTAGGACTTCCCCTATTGAATAACTTTTTCTAAATGTGACTCTACTTAGATATTTTTTTGGTTGTCTTACAAATAATATATATTCTTAAAAGTGACCGTTATAACTATTTCTTTTTTTCTAATTGCTCCACTAAAATTATTTTTTCTCAACTGTCTCCTTACTTAAAAATCTTTTTCTTACTGCCCTTGTAAATGTATTTTTTTTTAATAATAACTCTTAAAAATTTACTATCTAATGTCCACTATTAATATTTTCTCTCTTTTTTTAATGTATTTTACTTGAATATTTTTTTTATAAACAAATTTCTGAAGAGAATTATAAATTGAGGAAGAAACAAATTTCTAAGAAAATTGTGCTACACAGTTTTAAAAATTCAACAAAAAACAATGCGCATGTGCATGCACGAGTTTATAACTACTATATGGGCACGTTTATCAAACCGTAAGGGAATGTAATCTAAACGTAATTAGATTGAAAAAAAGTAAAGTAATATGTTTAAGGGTCATTCATTTTCTTTCAAGTGTTTACTTCACTATTTCTTATGTTTATTAAAATTCGTAATAGCAATGTTATAAATTTAATCACCAAAATATCATCTTACATAATTTGATAATCATTGACGATATTAATAGTAGATAAGTAAATTTAGTATTTATTTACTTTGAAAAGAAATCAATACTAAAAGGGGTGTAAGGATTGAGATTTTCTTTCCTCATTTTCTATATTGTGTGGGGCCCATTAAATCATCTTTACTGATTTTATAAGTAAACATATTATTAGATGAGAAATAAATGCCTCGTTTATTTCACTAATTCAAATTTTCAGTTTTAGGTTTCTACAGTAAAAAGCTCTCAAAAAATGTCACATCTAACTTTTTCTGCTGCAGTGAAAAGCTCTCAGAAAATGTCACATCTCAGCTCGAATTGAAAACTCAAATCCGCAAAGTGAACGACGCCAAAATCACTCCTCACTTTTGTCACGCCCCCCAAGCGGGGTGGGTGACGTGGAGCTCGATTAGGGGTTAATAAAGCAGATTCCCAGACAAGCCCCACTCAACTGCATTAAAATATAAATAAATTACAGAATTCCGCAGCCTCTGACACACATGGCTCCACCCCACAGGACATACAGTATCGTACATACATGCTCATGTAAATAATCATTACAACAGACATCAACCAGTCTAGTTAATCCAAATATTTCATAAGTTTACAGAATTTCTCAAATTCCTTACATTTGTCCAAGAGGATGAACACAATCCTCACTTGATCCCAATAGTAGCACAACTCAGCTGCTCCGTAGCAAATATCCAGCTACTGCGCACCGCTCCTAGAATCTCCTGGGAGGGGTTTAATACATTTAAAACATAAAACGTGAGCGAAAGGCCCAGTAAGATATAATTTGAAATAAACGTTATAAATAAATGAATAATAAGAGAGCGAGGAAATAAATAAATGAATAAGTGAATAAAATAAGACATTCAGTTCCAACAGACAGCCGGAACCTCACATCATTTTTATCAAAGGAAATATAACTGAAAATAACTGTTTTACAGGCTTCAGCAAGTAATTAGTACAAATTACTTACCTAACCAAGTGCCTCGCCTACCCGAACTGAGTTTCGGGTTCTGCCCCCGAGGATGCATTCTCCGCATCCTATCTAGGCTTACAGCAATAGACTTTCTTACCGGTTCACAAGATTTCTTTATTAAGAAATCATTCATTAACATTTTGAAATCGTTAATATGACCCCATGAACTACTCAAGCCGCGGGCCCCATGATTGGACAAGCCATGAGGTTCCATGACTAAACAAGCCATGGTTTTCAAAGCATTTTTCTTTCACAAGCCAATCCCTTTCTTTAAAACATTTTCAAGGCCACCTCACACTATCAAACCTGGGACTAGCGTTGCCCTTTCCGGCTTCCGCTTCCTCAAGCTCCTTCAATCTGAATCTTCAGTGATCACTGATGCAAGACAACACTTTGGGATTAATTCTCATTCCGAAAGCAATCCAAATCTCAATTTCCAACCAAGATTTCCTATTAGTATGCCCTAATCCATTTTCATGTTTCAAATTATCATTCCAAGGGTTTTCAATCTCAAAACAAGGATTAAAGATGCTAATCCATTCATCTCAAGTCTCCAAATGAAGCTAATTTGGTTCTCCCCGTAAACAGGGGTCAAAACAATATTTTTCAGGTCAAACAGGGTCAAACCCGTGTGCACCGGTCGACCGGTGACAGAGCAGTGCAACACTACCGGTCGACCGGTAGTGTGCACACCGGTCGACCGCTCAGCCTGCAATCCGGTCGACTGCACAGGTCGACCGATGGAATCAGCTGCGCGAGAGAAGCTCGCAGAAATCAGTCCAAAACCTGCAAATCCAGTCCCAAATCGAAATATCTCAAAGAGAAACCACTAGATCTGGGTTCTAGGTCCTAAAACAAGTCCAAAGAACCCAAGATCTCCAATTTCTACCATAGTTTTACTTAAAAACCATCAAAATCCGGTTTGAACCAAAAATAAGTTTTGAAATTCAAAAACTTGAGATTCAAGAGAGGTTCTTTCAGTAATATTACCTCGAATCATTCTCTTGACGTTGAAAACTTCTTTAAATCTTTTCTTAGTTCAAGATCCGTTTGATTTGGGACAAAAATGAGAGAGAGAGTGAGGGAGAGAGACGCACGGGAAAGGAAGGGAAAAAGAAAGGAAAAGGAAAAAGGAAAAAGGAAAAAGAAAAAAAAAGGAAAAGGAAAGAAAAGGACATGTGTACAATATTTTAAAACAACATTCCAGAAATGTGCTCATACACACTTCTGGGTTAAAATAAATTACTGAGAATAATTTAAATACCTTGGAACTTTTTAAACTCACACGTGTCAGAAATATTTATTAATTAATACTCAATTAATAATCCAGATTAGGCACACTAATAATCTCAATTACCTTAATTAATCTCTTTTAATTCTTCAGGGTGTTACAACTTTCCTTTTCTCTTCGACGCAAAGTAAACATTCCCTATATGTGTAAACACTACCATGATAAATATTAGGTATCAACTAGGTTAGTAGGTCATTTGCCATTACAAACGTTGAGGAGGTGGCTGCAGATGAATCATTTTATATTGCGCAAGATGGCGGTGATGAGCAGTGATGAAATAACAAAATGCGTTATTTACAAATATAAAATAAAATTATCTTAAAGATAACACCATTTATACTTTCATTTTTAACACTACCACATTAGCAAATATGTGTCCCACACATCCACATTGTCTAAAATAACCTTAGCAAAAGCCCTAGGTTAGTTTTCTTTTGTTTCTTTCCTCTCTCTCTGTTTTTCTTCTCTCTATATCTTTTTTCCATTGAACTAAAAATCTCCCGTCTCTTGCTCTCTTGTCTCTCCCATTCCATTATTCACCGATTCTAATGAAAATATAAAGGCCCTATTTGGTAATATTTTTGTTTTGTTTTATTTTTTATTCTTTTAAACAGATAACAAAAATGTTTTTTCTTGTTACAAAGGTTAAGAAGTTCGGGGACCCAAGTGCAAAAACTAAAAAGAAAAGTTAACAGGAAGCTCGATCTCTCACTCCCTCATTACCCCTTTGTGGCGTCCGCGCGCGCGAGTTTGAGCAGAGAAGAGCATTCGAAGCAAAACTTTGGCACCTGAGACTCCAACAATGGCGGCCAACAACAACAGCGGCGAAATCCTCATGCTCGAAGCTCCGCCGGAGAAACCCGCCGGTCCTACATGGCGCGTACCGGCCAACGCCGAAATCGTCGACGCCTTGCCTTACATCGATGACGACTACGCCAACCCGGCGGTCAAGAGAGAGGTCGATCGGTTGGTCGAGGAAGAGATGCGACGAAGCTCGAAGAAGCCCTCCGATTTCCTCAAGGACTTGCCTCCTCCGCCCAAGTCCGACTTCCAGGTCAGTGCGCGGGAAATACTCCATAGTTTTCTTTTGCTTTCTAGGGTTTTCGTTTTTGGATGGAGGACTGTTTGGTTGCTGAGAAAATGAAGTTGAATCTGAACTCTCTCAGGACCACCCAATGCTAGCCAGAGAGTACGAGCGCGTGCACGCGGCGAAGCCTCCGGTGATTCTGGATTTCAATCGCGATAAGTTGGAGGCGCCGCCGGCGAGCAAAAGGAACGACGATAGCGCTTGGAAGCTGGCTCTTCAGAGAGCTCAGTGCTCTTTGCAGCACCAAGTTATCAGGTTAATGCTATGACAGTCGTAATTTCACCAACACTCACATGATGTGTTCGTGAAAATTTCTGTTAATTGTGGCTGCTGGTGTTTGTAGGTTGGAGAACTTAGACCTGACGGTTAAGTATGGTCCCGAGGCCTGGAAGCACCACAATGGACGTTTGGAAGTGCTTTTGTCAAGGTTTCTACTTTGAAATTGTCTGATATGAAATGTTTATCGTAATTGATTGGCTAAGATGGTCAATTCTGGCTTGTTAAGTTATCTGTCGGGTCTTGCAAAAGAGTCAACAAAAGACATAGGCAAATCTACTATCTGTTTTTGATATCCAAGCAATACATGGAGTAATTCCCAATGTAGTAGTAAAAGCAAGACATGTAGGAGGATCAAGCTCAGATTAAAATAGGATCCAAACAAGGAAAATGATGTTCCAGTTTTTGTTTACATTCACGAGTAAAGGACTAACAATTCCGCTTTTATACAAGCCCTGCCATTTTGGGTTTGCTGCGCTGCTTTGTTGCTTTATCCTTTAAAAAATAAAAAAGGGTTGTTAGTCTCCTTTGAGAACGTAGTTATGATTCTAAGTTTTGGTTGGGATTCAATGCTGCAGGTTGTGCAGTTCTGCTTCTTCTCTAAGCAGATCTTCTAACCATCAGGCTATTCTATCACTAACTTGGCTTAGTAATACTTTATAGATAAGTCTAATGACTGAAAGCTCCACAATATAAAGAAGTATATCAAAAAGTTGAATTTAAAAGATATATGCCGGCTTTCATGTTAAGACAAGTTGCTAAATTTCTAAGCTATGTGAACAATTGCCATGGAATGTTACTTTTCTTTTGTATCAAAAAAATTTAAAATCTTTTCTTTTCATGCACACTAGATGTCTACCAACTGTACGTTGTCATTCTAGTGATTGTGAAATCAGATGGTTCATTATTCGTGTTTTTTATTTAAATTTTCATAAAACTTTGGCAGAATGCAAAAGTTAGCTCAGGAGCAATTTGAAAAGATTGAGACAGTGAATCGTGAAAGAAAATATCATCAGGTGAACTGATTTTCTTCTCATTCGTTAAATTTTGTGAGTACTTCAACTCTATGTTGCATACTTATTGATAAGATAAATATATGTTTTCTTTTGATGTTCAGCAAAACACTGCATATGAGCTTAATGCGCTGTCTACACAATGGAAGGACCTTTGCCAGAAGAATATCGAAATTCAAGGTGCATGTGCTCAACTTGAAAACCATATATCAGAGTTGAAAAGAGAAGCATCAGAGAGGTAATTTCTGTTTTCTTATTTTCTTACTCTCTCTTGTAAGCATTTAATTATTGAGAGCTAATAAGTATTTATGCATTTAGAGGATGGAACTTAGAAGCAAGTGCAGAAAATGGTTCTTTTCAGAGATTAGAGTAAGAAGGTACGCTCCTGTTTTTCATTTTATTATTATTATTATTATTATTATTATTATTATTATTATTTTATTTTTGAATAATATGATATGTAATTTAGATTTGATGTTACATATTTTTTTGTTCTTGGATTACGGGATTGTCAATAGTAATTTAACTTTAATCCTTTTGCTCTCCAAATGAAGGGATTAGATATGAGTCCAAATCTATTGTCCTCATGTTGTTGTCTCAGTTGTTGTCCCCCCAATAAAGCACTGACAAGTCATTCAAATATTACACGTCACACTCTTACTCGTATACACTTTCATTTCCCACCACTTTCACGGAAACCAACACTTGTCATTTCACATGGTTTCCTTTTGCCTTACCTATTAAGAGGCAATCTTTAAGCTCTCATCAGCCAAGTTTTTTATTTTATTTTATTTTTTAAGTTATTAAGCAGGGCTTTCTTCAACATAGGTATTGATATGCATTAATTGTTTCTTGAATCTATGGAAGATAATCATGTCATTGCTAGTATCAGTATTACAATAATGCGAATCATTATCACAATGATGCGGCAAGACATTTACACCAGTATTACTAAAAAATCCAAATTATATCACAAACTGACTACAAGCAAAAATCTATCCACATCAATGGATCTCCACCTACACAAATGACACTGATCTTGACAAACAAATTAACCTATTTGGAAACACAAAACAAGCATTGTGAAAGAATCTCATTGACGATCGAAGAAGTTGATGGGAAGCTGCTGTTAAAGCTTTGCAATCGCTGCTGCTAAGAGAAACCCAGTGACGGAGGCGGTTGTAACTCTGATTTGTTTGCTGGTAGTAGCAGTTGGAACCCCAATTTTCAAACCTTCCTTCAAAAATTTCTTTTTTCTTTGCTTGCTTCTTGCAAAGGCAGATTTGAATCATGTGAGAGGAACAATGTTGGTACTTGGTTTTAGTGAAAGTAGTGTTGAAATGAAAGGGTTGACATTGAAGAAGTAAAGAGGAAAAGAAACGGAAAGCATCAGTTTAACTTTGTCAATAGTGAGTAGAATAATAGTGTGTAGCGTGTAAAATTTTAACGACTTGTTAGTGATTAATTGGGGAGATAGCTACCGGGACAGTAAAATGAGGACAATAGATCTGGACTCATTAGATAACTAAGGGTGTGTTTGGTTGGGTGGAAAGAAAAGGAATAGAATGGAATGGAATCCAAGTCTGATATTTGGTTGGATTTATAAGAAATGAATGGTCATTCAAAAGGAATGGCCATTCACCCATTTTGGGTGAATCACCATTCCTTCATCGCATGGGAGGAATAGTCATTTCAAGCTCTTTTCTTTGTTTTTTTTTCCCCATAATTACCCTTTAATATTATAATATAATTACAATATATTATATAGTGTTATATAATATAATATGTAATATAATATAATATATAATAAAAATATTATAACATAATATAGTTATAATAATATGATTTAATATAATATAATTTATAATTTAGTGAAGATTTTGAGGAAGAATAATCTTCTATTTTTCTCATTGAATTAATTGGTAACCATTACACACTTATATACATGATTTACATAACTAACAAGGGTAACAAATCCCTGAAAATAAGGGATAGGAAACTTTCCTCCTAAACCTAAGGAATCATAATAGGAGAATCCGGATTCTCTAAACCCCTAATTTCCTTCTATGAATAAATCTAAATATGACAACTTTGAGGGAAATTCCACACTCCCCCTCAAGTTGGGTTGTACATATTGTACATGCCTAACTTGTTGCATAGTTCCTCAAAGTTAGGTCCTGGCAACGCCTTTGTCAAGATGTCTTGAAGTTGTTCCCGAGTAGGAGTGTAGACCAACTGCACCTCTGAGTTCTCAATCTTCTCTGCTATGAAATGCCGATCTAGCTCCACATGTTTCGTTATGTCGTGGTGAACTGGATCCTTTGCGATACTAATAGTTGCTTGATTATCGCACTTAAGTGTCACTGACTTCTCAAACTCCAACGCCAACTCGGTCATAACTCTCCTGGTCCATATTCCTTCACAGATCGTTACTGCTAAGGCTCTTAGTTCAGCCTCTGCACTGCTTCTGGAAACCACAGTCTGTTTCTTACTTCTCCATGTTACAAGATTCCCCCAGACTAAAGAGCAATACCCTGTGGTCGACTTTCTGTCTACTTGGCTTCCTGCCCAGTCTGCATCAGAGTATAGAGCTATATTTCTGCAACCGTTTTTCTTAAACAATAACCCTTTTCCAGGGGTCATCTTTAGATACCTGAGAATTCTGTACACAGCTTCCATGTGTTCCTCCATCGGATGGTTCATAAACTGACTTACGACACTCACTGCGAAACCAATGTCAGGCCTAGTATGGGAGAGATAAATGAGCTTCCCTACTAGACGTTGATATCTTCCTTTGTCTACTGGGATTCCTTCCTCTTCACGCCTTAAACTTCTTTGTAGAGTCCATAGGGGTGCTTGCAGGTTTACATCCTAGCATACCAGTTTTTTTGAGTAAATCCAGGGTGTATTTGCGCTGAGAGACAACTATTCCCCTTTTTGATCGAGCCACTTCCATGCCTAGAAAGTACCATAGAGGACCAAGATCTTTTACCTCAAATTCATTAGTCAAGGATCGTTTGATTTTCAGTAACTCCTCGTAATCTCCGGTTAGGATAATGTCATCAACGTACACGATGAGAATGGCTAATATGTTCTTGGGAGAGTGCTTTACAAAGAGCGTGTGATCCGCTTGACATTGAATAAATCCCTGTTCTTTTACGAATCTTGAGAATCTACCAAATCACGCTCGTGGGGATTGTTTAAGCCCATACAAAGACTTCAATAACCTGCACACCTTATTGTTGCTGTTGCTTATTTGTAGACCCGAAGGAACTTCCATGTAGACCTCCTCTTCAAGATCTCCGTTAAGGAAGGCGTTCTTTATATCAAGTTGATGAAGTTTCTAGTCCAAATTCGCTGCTAATGAGAGGAGTATTCGAATGGTGTTAAGCTTTGCAACAAGAGCAAAGGTCTCCTGGTAATCAACACCATAGGATTGAGTAAAGCCCCTTGCTACTAACCGAGCCTTAAGCCTTTCAATGCTTCCATCTGCCTTGTGCTTCACAGTAAAGACCCACTTACAATTCACCTTTTTCTTTTGTGGCGGGAGTTCAGTAATAGTCCATGTTTCATTCTTTTCCAAGGCCATAATCTCCTATTGGATGTTTCCATCTGACTCAGAGCCTCTTGAATGTTTGCTGGAATTTGAACATTATCCAGCCCTGAAGTAAAGGCTCGATAGGATGGAGAGAGACCTGCATATGATATATAATTCTTGATTGGATGTTGAGTACAGGTTCGAGTACCTTTCCTTAAGGCGATAAGTAGTCCCGAATCATCTATAGTCTGAGTCTCATGTGATCCTTTTTGTTCCGGCTCATTTCCACCTCCTGTGCTAGTTTCAGCAGTCATTGGGTCCGGT